CGCTTCGCCTCCGAGGTCTGGCCCCCTCGGAGGTGAAGCGCATCATCGCCACCGGCGGAGCCTCTGCCAGCCAGGGCATTCTGCAGGCATCGGGGGAAGGGGAAACCGCCCATTTGTGGGGGTTTCTCTACGTTCTTGCTGGTGCTCAGCAGGGAATGATGGAATGAACTCCCATAAACTATCCCTTGTGGTTTCCTTAGAAAGGAATCCCTAGGTTCATTCCCAACATCCTGGGTCATTCCCCACAGAGCACCCGCAAGTTTTGACACAAACCCACCCAACCCTATCAGGGGTAGCTTTAAAAAAACAGCAAATATGATTCTACGGCAATTTGGTTTAGTAGTTCCCCACAACCGCATTCTAATTTGTTTGGCCCCTTTTTGGTCAAGGTCATGTGGGTTTGTCTTTTCAGGTTGGCTAAAGGGAGACCAAAAGGAGCATTGTGGGCCACCCCATTTTGACATTTTGACGCATGCCCACTGTTCTGCATGTGGACATTTGTAAATCGCCGTCGCAAGTGGCTGGGGCTCTGGGGCTTGCATGAATGCCTGGTGTCACGGGAACAACATCAGTCAGCTGCGTGGATGATGGAGGTGCTTGAATCATGCCGGGATGCTCTGGTATCTTTCGAGCTGTTGTCGATTGATTTAGGCGAGCCCTTGTAGTGCCAAGGTGTGCTTGTTGCAACTGTTAAGTTGCTTGGTCACATGGGGGCCCTTATTCAAGGTGCCTTTTGCCAATTGATTTCACCAAGGCTAATGTTGATGCGATGGCGGGTAAAGGGCTCCCAGGTGAGTTGTTGTTCAAATGTTGGTGTCCACCCAAGCATTCCACCAGAAGCTCAAGTTCTCAAGACACTTCTCCAGGAAAATCGGATGAAGTCGCTGCCCGCGCAGGTGCTTGCGGACGTGTTTGGCGTGCCGGCGCCCAGGCCAGACTAGGCTTGTGGCTCATCCGTAGAGCCGCTTCAGACTGCCACGAGACGAGAAGGAGGTTGTCAAACATAATAGACGTACTCCCACAGGGGACAAGCCCATGGCCCGTTAGAATTTGCACCTCGAACGACGACAAATCAGTCAATCCCCGGCCTGAGAAAAGGACTTCCATGGAAAACATGCTATCGGCAAGTGCCTACATGCCCACATGCTCACATGCGCGATGCACGCAATGCATGTAATATGACATGCCAGTACACAATTGGCATACACGTCTGGATGTCCACTGGTCATTGGTCGTCAGACTAATAGAATGTCGGAAGTCAGGTTGCATGAGGAGCTGACTGGGGCTCTTCCGCAGCTTGATAACGTGCAGATGCTTTTGTGGTGACACGGTAGTATCGGATTGGTGCAACATTTGAACAGACCTTTGCTGGTGCCGCCGGCAATCTCAATCGTAAATCAGGCAAATGTTGAGCTACAGGAGCACCGCGACGAGCCATGACCATGGCTTACATTTTAGAATGTGTTAGCCACATACTCACAATTTCTGTGCATCTTACACGTGCATATATATGTATACATATATATAAGGTATATACGCATGTTGTATGTGTTTTGCATACATGTTGTATACATGTCACATACACGACATATACATGTAGACGTAGGTATCATGTTGTCTCTAAGAGGCTGTGCCTTCGCGAGTAGCTGAAACCATCCTGGAGAACACATCTTTGCTTGTAGGTCATTGGCTCCCCATGTTGGAAGACTTTTCCAGAGCGACAAAATCTAACCGGACGGCCTGATTTGGTTGGGGACACTCATGCCGTTACCTTGTTGGACACATATATGGCCAAGTGTCGCTTTCTCATGCCGAGCTGGTGCCACCAAAGGGGGGGGGTCAAAAGCACATGCCACCTTTTTGCTTCAAACCAAACCTGACGCCAAAAAGGTGCCAAGAGCAACCTGCCGAAGTGGTGCAAAAACGCGGTCCACGAGAACCTAGCCGAGGTGTTCACGTTGGATCAGACGGACTCCGCCTCCCTGGGTGCCGCCTTCCGGGCCTGTCACGGCTTCAGGTGTGCAACGGAAGGCGCGGGGCAAGAGGATGGGTTTCTCGGGTTTCGGAAGTATCTTGGGTACCTAACCCTGTGGTTGAAGTTTTGGTTGCAAGTGGATCCATTTGTGCTATATGTGGCTATGTAAAGTGATTGGTGGACGTGAATCTCCACCTAAATTATGTTCACCAAAGGGTCCCCTATTAGAAGCTCACACCGATATGTTGTTAGGTTTGCTTGCCTGGGATAGGCCAGTTTGAAGAGGTTAGGGCGGCGCTCAAGAAGACCCGATTGGGGGCTATGGGCGAAGAGTTGCCAAATGAGGCTCGATGAGGCAAACGCAGCAGGGAAAATCCACTTTTGCCTTCAGGACTGTGCGCGTGATTTGGTGCTTCTGTAAGCCAGAGCAACGTTTGGCACAACATATCGAGCATGGTCCGGACATGTCCGGACCATGTCCTAGTTCGTGGTGACAGGCTTCGTTCCTTTCTCCACGGTGCTGGCCGGCAAGCTGCAGTACAAGCTGGCGGCAGAGCCGTCTGCCGAGGCCCCGGGGCTTCAGAGGAACCGGAAAGTCAGCTGCTGGGCCTGCGGTTTTCGTTGTGCCAACGACTTCGAAAGGGCCAAGTTGCGTGGCGATTCCTTTGCTTGAGGACTTGAAACGCGTGGAGTGGGGGATGGCGTCAACCCTTTTGCGTCCATTGGACGTCAGGACGCCTATAGGGATGCGCTGCCTCGGTACCTGCGGCTGCAGAAAGAAGTGCTGGCGCAGCTCGCGGGCGGTGACCCGAAGCGCGTCAGGAGCTGAGAGTTTCGGCTTGCGCTCTGATGCGCACCAAAGCGGCGGCATGCAAAAGAGGGCTCCAAGGGGATCCGATGCGATTTGGAGGCCATGGCTCACAGTGGAATGTCTTTTGGAATCTTGGAAGCAGCTGTGGCTAATCCGGTTTCTGTGTTTGATTCCATCCAGAAGCTGCCTTGCGGAGGGATTTGGCTGCTCGGAAAGGGAGCTCCTCATTTCGACAAGCGCCCCTGGTCTTTCTATTCGGCTTGATGGTTGGTCCTTCACCTCAGGATGATCATTATATTGGACCAACATGCACATTTTTGACCATTTGCCGAATGATCTCTCCGATTGGAGAGCAGCTCCTTGAATTGCTGTTGCGTCCGAAACACTTTCTTGCATTCGTTCATTCCATTCTACACCGTGTTGCTCGCTGACTGCGGCTCTCTTGCCCGCGCCGCAGCTTGAGCATGCGAGCTCCAACGACGCCTGACGGCGCTCCGTGTGACTTCAGCGAGGATTCGCGTGAGGAAAAACACGCAACCAACATTGAACAGAAGTAACTTGATTTGCCCAGCCACCTCATCAGCTTTTGATTTTGGAGTCTTGCCAAGGCCCAAAAGTCAAGCACCACATAAAACATCATGTGCCTCGTCTGATGGCGGCGCGCGCTGCCAACGCGTCAGGTGAGATCTGCTGTTTGCAGCTTCTTGTTCTCTTGTGGCGCTGACCTCGAAATTTCCGGCGCCAAAGCCGGACGGGTGCTTCTGCCAGGCAATGGGAATCGATGCGCCGCGCGCATTGCGACAGCTTAGGGCTGAGGCCGGCGCTGGGGGCGCTGGGGGAGCTGGCTGTAAGTTTGTGGCCCTTTGATTCCCAACACCCCAAGTCCTCTTGTTTGATGCGGTCAGCCGGGCCACCTTCCCCCCACTCCCAAGCGCATGTTGACCCAAACAGGACTCTGACGCACCAAAAGACTGGTGGCAGCACCTCCCAGTAGATCTTCCTTGCAATTTCTGCGGAAGTCGGTTGCTGGTGTTTGGCAAAATCTGGATGTCAAAAACATGTGTCGCAGGCATGTGACGGTAACAAGGAAGCTGCGCAGATGCTCAGCTTGTTTGGTAGCAGGAGGCAAGATTAGAAGTGTGTTTCGAGAACCCAGCGTCCGACCTGGTAGGATCATGCAGACATGGTGTGGCTTGATGGGTCATAGCTTGAAGGTCACGTTTTGTCATGTTTCTTGTGTCTCATTATTTAGTTGTGGTTTGTCCTCGCAGACTCCCAGCATGTTGCAACATTTGACTGGGTGTCGTACTTATTCCCGCTGGCTGCCACAATGCTGGCCCGCTCCGCGCAGCTGTCTTAGAGTAGGTAGGACCGCCGTGAGTCGGCTGCGTTTCCGAAACGCGGCGCCGGCCTCAACATTTGCGCCCGTCACTAGAATGAACTGATCAGACAGGATATGTTTGATTTTATTGTTCTCAACAGCAAGTGGTTGACGCTGAGTTGGTGTGAATGACAGGTTATATCGGCTGAATAATTTTGTTGTGGCATTTGCTAAGCGGATAGAGAGGCGTATCTTTCCCGCATCGAATACAGAAGCAGACAGGCTTGCTGCAAAACCTTGGGTCGCCTGGATCAACAAAGTGTCCACTCCAGATGCTTGGAAGTTGTGTCATTTGGGAACTCACGAATGGGGACCACTTCGCATCAATCCAAAAAGGTGCGCCGTTCAGTTTTTTTAGAGCTGTACACGTCGACCTGGGATACTCAGGCCATGGGCGAGGGCTTCAGGCTAGATGATCTGAAGGATCCTGAGCGGTTGAAGTTCTTGATTGTCAAGTGCCTTGGATGCAAGACAGGCTGCGGGCTTTGCGCCCTAGCCTGTTGTATCAATCACAACATGCTTCGAGAAATTCACGTTTGTATGTGCACTTATTTTATATGCATATACGTATCGATTGATGATTATATATTATTTTATGCGCATGCATCATATCACTGTGGAGATGTCGAGGGTGGGATGATTCCTCTCACTGGCACTGTGCTACGTTGCTGAATGGTCAGAGGTCAGGCGGCTTTGGCGCCGGGGGTTGTACTCAGCACCGTGTTCACTTGCTGGTCGGACCGTCGGGGATCTTTTGCTTTGTTTTTTTGTCTCTCTCGCTCTCTCTCTCTCTCTTTATATATATATATATATGTATATATAATACATACACGCATTCATCAATATGCATATGACGGAGAGCACATGACTGGCACATGACTGGCATGATGCCGCGTCGAATGCAACATGCTGTGCAAGCAACACGTCAATGAAGCCCATTGCGTTCTATCAGAGGCCCTGAAATTCACATAGTTTTTCCTGTAAGGACACCAAGGTGGCGGTTGGGCTTTCCTTAGGTCGCTTGACTCCGGTGCAACTCTTGCCTTGCATGAAGCAGAGGTATGCAAAGACGGAGGCCTTCAAAGTCTGGGGCGGTTTCACACTGGTGGCTTTCATTGCCAGCGCCCCAGTGCTTCTTTTCTTTTGATTCTTGTGGGAAGTAGTCAATCGGTCAGTCCGAAAATCCCTATTGGCAACTAGAGGTTCCTACTCCTTGGTTATATGTTATATGTGGCTGTAATGATGCTTGTGAGTGTTTACAAGCATCCTGACCTTCTGGGGGAGCCAAACATCAACGGGATTTGGGCACCGACCAATTGGCCTCTAGGCGTTAGAGCAGCGACAGCATCTCGGCTCGCACGCTTAGCACCGGCGCTTTCTGAGGTTTTTATGCTCTTCTCCAGCGGTGACTTCTCATTTCTTCTGACCTTGTCGTCCTTAGTGCCATGGAGGCAATAAGGCATACATGCTCCCAGAGCGCAAGCCAAGCCTGAGGCGAACACGGCATTGGTACTTACCCAGTGGCCTGCTCATTTAATTATTTCACACGTCGTAGTGATATGAAATGTGTGTGTTTGCCAACAGGGTCGCCGATTGATCAATCTGTAGCCCAGTCTTAAACATTTGGTCAGTGGTCGTCCTGCAGCATGATGTTTCCTGTTGATGTCCAGTTTTACTCTTGTCGCTCATTGTGCCAACCAGCAACTTCGGTGGTTCTTTCATTCGGAAAAGATCAACAGCTTCAAACCAGGCAAATTTCAGAGAGACGCCCTTGGCCACCATTTGACCGGAGCAACACTGCAAAGGTCAGCGTGTTCAGCTTTGTCATGGTGGCCCTGAAGATTGAGACCGGGAGGAGCTGCAAAGGTGTCTCCTTGCGGATGATGGAGTGCACTTCGGCAGATTGGAAGCACTGCAGGCACCGGAGACATTCAGACAAATGTCGAACTTACCGCTTAAGTTCCTGGACTTTAAACAGGGCAAGAGTAATTCGACACACTCGCAAGGCGTGCTGAGCTTTTATACCTTTTGGGCCCTCTAGCTGATGGGAATGGCTCTGCTTCATGACTGATTTGTCGTTCACTGAATCAGTTAATCAGCATTCCCGTATTTGCCCAGATCAGGGTCCGAAGCGGGTTTGGGTGTCACAGGGAAGGTACTTGTGAATGCGTGCTGATCTCTTATGATAGCTCATGTTGCTTGATCAGCAGATGTCCAATGTGAACCACTTTGACCGACAGCCAAACCTGGGAGCGATGTGAGATGTTGACCCCCGCAATGGATTTCGTTTTTTCCCTTAGCTTCCCTTTAAACGTGAAAAGGGCACCCTCAATGGAAGCAAGCCCATGTTGTTTCCCAGGTCCAGGTGTTTCTCATGGAGCTTTGGGTTCTAGGCCATCTTCGCCAGCCAAGATGCGGTGGCCATTTTCGTGCTCCGAGGTTACCTCGCGATTTTCTTGTTCCGCCTCTTCGCGATTGTGCCCTTTGAAGGCCTGAGTCGCCCGAGCCAAAGCGAGTCGCGGAACTTGTCGCCGCACGGTAGGCCCATAAGCAATCACTATAGGGTTTGGGACCATGGAACTCCAAGCTATTTGCGGCTCGTGCCCTACGTCCGTTTTTTGTTTTTTTTTGGGGGGGGGGACCGTTTTTTGTTTTTTGTTTTTTCCTTCTTCTTTTTTTTCCGACCCCCGAGCTTTTGCTGGGCTAATAAACCAAACAAAGTGGAGGTACAGAGACAGGTTCGAGTTTTGAAAAACATGCTCCCCCTTTTTCTGTCAGGAGACCCTTTTGGTGGCGGTTCGCAAGAAACCCATTTTTCGTCTGGCTCAACTCGCGCGTTGCGATCGGAAAGGATATCTGCCCTTCGACAAGAGCGGGGACTGGTTCTATCAGACCTGCGAAGCCTTGGGCCTCTGCCTCGCGGGCGTCATGGTGTTCCTCGGCGTGCGGTGGAGCGATCCCGGACCAAACTGCGCATGGACTTTTGAGTACAAGCGTCGCTATACGGAAGCTAGCAGATGGGAAGGAGCCTGAAAGCTTTAGGATCTTACCCTGGGCTGCCAGCGACACTTCCTTGTGAGACGCGACTCCATTGTTTCCCTGTGATTCCCATGCAGGCCACGGGCTGCCCTTACGAATTCCTACTTGGATCGAACATTGTCATCAGAATATCAGTGCTTCCTCTACCTGGTCCTTGGGTGAGATGTGTTAAATGAGGAAACCGTCCGAATGGTGGGTGTTTTCTTGCTTGCCCTCAAACCAAGATGAAATGGTACCCTCAAACAGACAGATGCGTGTGTAGCGACCCCTGACGAGCTCCTCAGCGTTGGAGGTACTTCTGCCGGTTCCGCTACGCCGCCTCTTACGACCCCAGCACTGACAACTTCCAGCACCACTGGCTGGCGCTGGGCGCTCTTGGTTTGCAGCCCGGCCAGATGCCGAAGCAACCGGAGCCAAACCGAATTCTGATCGTTTCGTCCCTAAAGGCAAGCCCAAAACGAGGAGCTGTAGCTGTGCTCGGGAGTTTTTACCGGTTTCTAGTTATCGAAGTCACTTTCAGCGCCTCTAGCTTCATTCACCATGTCCAAACAGGTGGTCGGCCCCACCATGCAGCCAGCCGTCTGTGCCGGAGTTGGCCAAGTCAACATTGTTTAGCGCAAGCTGTGGGCGTTTAGGCGTTGGACAGGTTTGAAAGGGTGCTGGCCCTTGTTCGATTTTTTGGGACTTCAGTTCACGGTTGTCTCCAGACCGTTTTGAAAGCCAGTCCATGCTGCACAGGGGGCACGATCCACTCTTGATACGTGAAACATGGATTTTTGTTTTCAACGCCTCTGTGCAATCCCAAAAAAAAACGCCGCCGGGCTTAAGCCACATGTATGCCATACCTGCCTTCAGGTCTTTGATTTTTCATCCCAACCTCAACAACTTCTTGCCCTCGGACATCAGCTGGGCCTTTGCTTTGTACCTGGAGTCCGTGGCGGTCTCCCGGTGGCACAGAGAGGGTCAAGACCAGTGGAGCTGGGGATAGCCGGTTTTCCAACAGGCGCATGAGGCAGTCGTGGACGCTCAGATGTTGGCCAATTTTTGGGAGTTCATGACCCGCTTTGCGAGGAGTATGGTTGCCTCTCGGAGTCGAGTTGGTCCACAATGCCATACTTATCATATGAATTCAATTATCGATTCCTTCGAGTAAGAAAGCCAACTTTGGGTGTCAGCGCATTCCAATAGAGGTGAAGGTCTGAGGGAAGAACCGAAGAACCTCGCGCCTGCGCGGCCGTGAGGTGCTGTGCCAGCTCTTCATGTTCATGAAGGAGGGCCAGGCCCAGACCCACACGAGCCACTTCCTGGCGGCTCAGGAGTGGTGGGCTGAAGTCGCTTGGGGCGTGCCTTGCGTGGTCGGTTGGGGAGCTTCTCATGAGGTTTGCCTGGGGGCGCTTTTGGCCCCACAAGGCTGGCTTAGGCCATTTCTGAAGCTAAACATGCGTCTCCGGGTGGCCAGTTGGCCCTGTAACATGTTTTGTTTTTACTATTAGCATGGTGTGTGTTTGTGTTGTTGTGATATATATTTATTTGTAACATTGTGTGCATGCAAATATGAATCTATTCGTGACTGAGCCGCCAGACAATAAACACTGCAACCATACCTGATCCCCTGACGCCTGCGCCTTGACTCCAGCATGATGTCACACATTTGCTAGTCACTCCAGTCACCCAACCTTGAAGGACGAGCGCTTAATCTGCAAGCGACAGGAAGCTTGCTGAGCATGGCTACTGCACAGCAACGCATGAGCCTCTCCAGCGCTTGCCGATGATTATCAAGAACTGGGAAGGATATGTATGTCCCACATTGACATGACCATACAGCATCTCACTAGTTCTTGGCAATCCTGCATGCAGCGAAACCTTTCGGGCAAGTGTGTGTTTCTTGGTTTGGTTCCTTGTTTGCTTGTTTGTTTGCTTGCTTTCTTGCTTGTTCGATTTTGCATTGCTTGTTTGTTTGCTTGCTTGCTTTGCTTTACTTTGCTTTGCTTTGCTTTGGCGTTGCGCCTTGCCTTGCCTGGCTTTGCTTTGCTTTGCTTGCTTGGTTGCTTTGTGTAGTTTCATTTGTGGATATGTGTTTGCGGGGCAGGCCTTGGCAAAGATCATGTCCTTCATCTTTTGGGCGTCATCCTTCAACGAGCTGTCGCCGCGTGGCTGGAAGGGTGCAGTCGATCGAGTTGGGCCGATTCGAGCATTCCGCTCTTCATGTGGTCGGCTGCCGTGTCAGCTGCTGGCGTTCAAACGTATCCTTGGTTTTGCACCCGAAGCGACTTGCCTCAGCGACGATAAATGGTTTTGAGGATGGTTATGTGGGTTATGGAGGAATAAAGGTCCCCCTCCCCCCCAAAAGAATGGAAACTCAATAGAGAAAACCGTACAAAAAATCGGGCAAAGCCAGCACAAAGTAATAATATACTAATACAAAGCCAACTCTAAACAGTACTGGGCCAGCTCAAAGGAATACTCAAACAGTTCAAAACCAGTACTGACCGAAGAGGACCGAAGAGGACCAAAGGCAGTCGAAGCAATACTATGCCAGTACTAAACTAGTACAAACCAATACCAAGCCAGTGCTACAGCAGCAAGAAGCAACCTAAACCAATACAAAACCAATACTAAACCAATACTAAACCAATACTAAACCAATACTAAGCCAGTACTAAACTTGGGAAAGGCCAGTGCTAGCTTGGTATTGGTCTATATTGGTTTAGTATTGGTTTAGTATTGGTTTAGTACTGGTTTAGTATGGGTTTAGTATTTGTTTAGTAGTGCTTTTATTTTCGGCCTGGAAAACGGGTGCGCAATTGGGCAACCTCTTTTTAATTTCTATTATTGAGTGTTTGGGGGGACCACATACTGCCCCCCTTGGAAACTTGTCGGCTGAGCGCCTTTAAATACAGGAGACGTAAGGAATCAGCTGTTTCGGGGACTAGATACACCTTTGCAATTTGGGTGTAGACAATCAATTTGGAAACACTTTATTGTATTTGGTACCCTTTGATTCATCGGGTACCCACGTTACAGGTGTTCTCGGGGTGTCTTTGTTGTTTCTTCCTTGGTTGTGTCAGCTAGCCTTGCTGAGCTTGCCACCCAACTCTCGCAACTCCATGGATCCAGACACTGGTCATGCGGCTTCTTGGATTCTTCGCTTCGGGTTCCGCGTGGCCCAGGAACCCGAATCACTCCATCAAGGCCTTCGTCGGCAACTGGGTGGTCTGCACCCAGCTCGTCCAACTGCTCGCCGGAGGGCCCAGGCTCGGCGGCGACTGAAGTTGATGCGGCCACCTTGGCTTGGACCCGCCCGTATTCCGAAGTGAGTTGTTGTTGTGTTTTGGTGTCTTGTTTTGCTCAACGTTGGAGCACTGGAGGCGTTTGTAGCAATTGAGGTCATGGGTGACTTCATCTACCACTACATCCGATGCATTCGACAGGCCGGGACGTTGCCAAGCAGCATGTTGTGCACAGGGTGGATTGTCACATATAGGACGGACACACCACTCGTGTGGCTGAGCCCAGCAACCAATTGCAAGCAATTGTGTGTGAGCTCTCTTCATTGGCCAGCTTTGCAACCGAGTCCTTGTTCTTGCTGTCCTGTGCCAGGGCATTCCTGTCTCACAGCTCCTGTGCTCGGACAACGTTTAGAGACACCCAGCAGTGCCAACTTGGACTGCTGGCTTTTTCAACTTGGCCGCTAGCCAAAGAAGCTAACCAAGGCAGCATTGCCAAGGCTTCCGCTTCCTCGGAGCGGAGACGCAGAGCGATTCCTAGCCGAATGCGTGTGCAGACAGCGCGAGCTGCACCACAAGCTTCGCAGCTTTGTGGCAGATAGACCAGTCGCTGCACGCAGGAAAAAGATGGGTGCGTGAACCAGCAGCCAATCTGGTTGCCTGATCGGTAAGGCGTCAACTTACAGCATGTTTGCAAGAACCAGGTATCTTGGTCCCATTGATCATATTTGCTTGCATGTAGGTGTGTCGGATGCGTCTCAAAAAGGGCTTCCCCTTTGAATCGACCGATTGGTTTTGTGAGAAATTCCATGGGAGGGCGTTGTGGCATTCAGCATTAGGAAGGGGTTCGCAGCTGATTCTGCAAAATCCGAGACAGCTTTCCGCCCCTGTGGAGTCTTTTTCTTTGGTGGACGATGGGACTTAACGTTTTTTCTGGAGGAGTTCTGTAAGAGGACGCATTTGCCATGGACAGCTTGGCTGATCCCAAGATCGCCAACTGGATGTATCGTCGCGTTCGCACCATTCTGGTGCCCAATAATATTCGAGGGCTTCTGGTGCGAAACCTTGAGAGCACGCACGGCCCCCATTTGAGCAACTGACAGACCACCAACACCCCCCAATTCGACCGTAGCTTCTCAACTCAGCAAAAGAACAAATAGGCATGAGCACCTTGAGGTGTCCCATCATTTGTTGGCAACTTGGGCGTTGTTTGCCTCTGGGATTTCTGTCGATTCGGTTCGCCGCCTCGGGCATTCCTCTTCGCTGAGAAGCAGAAACGCCACTGCCAGAACGGTCAATGCCACTAATAGCGTGCATTGGGCGCCTTGCGGTTTCGCCAGGAGCTACGGCAGCTCTGCAAAGAGCAGGCAAGGGTTTGGCTCAAGCGGACAGAGGTGAGAGCTTGCAAGCCTTTGACAACGTTAACATTTGTCATACGCAAGGCTTGGCAGCGATGAATCGCATGCTGTAGGGCAAGCAGACGCACTATCGTATCATTAGTTGCATTTGGTTTGCAGCTAAGTGCATTTGTGCTTTGACAACGATATGGTTGTTTCACCGCACATTGAACCAACTCAACAGCATGGCACAGTCTGGTCTTCTAGGAGCAACATGTAACGTCACGTAGCCTAGGCAAGGGGCTCCAATTCGGCGCTGGAACGTGAGGAACACCCTGAACTCTGGGATCCAGGGTCCGGTTGCAGCGACTGTTCTAGGGGTCCAAGACCTGGCTCAGGGCCTCAAAGGACACAAGACGTTGCGTGTTTCAATGCGCGTGCACTAGCCGAGCAAAGCCCGCGGAAAACGGGTCGGCGAAGCCGATTCCGAACTCGTGCTTCTCTTCCAAAGAGTTGGTGTTTGAGAGCACGGCTGCGTGCTTGGCTATCTTGCTGGTGCTCAGCAGGGAATGAGGGAATGAAGCTAGGATCTAGGGATTCCCGTAAAGGAGGCCGTATATGGGGATGTTTTATAGGGGTCATTCCCCCATTTCCTGTTGAGCACCGGCAAGCAATGCCTTTTTCGCGCTTCGAGCCCCGCATGCCAGGGGCTCAACTCGCAGGGCCGCAAGGGGGACCTCATTCAGCGCCTGGCGGACTTTCGGGCAGGCCACGAGGCCCGATCCGGCCGAATTTAGCAGCGGAAAAGTGGCGAAGTGATGGTTGAGCTTTGGCATGGAACTCCCAAAGGTTTGAAGCTAGCTCCAAATAGGGATTTGGACCCTCAAGATGCAAGTTTTGGAGACCCGTTGAGGTTTCCCCTTGATACCAAACCCCTTAGGGTGCTCGCACAAAGCAGAGACCCAAGTGTGTATGCTGGTGAACCATGCCCAAGCCCTAGAATGTGCGGGGCGACCCCTGGAATTTCCATACTTCCGCTTTGGTGACACAAAAATGGAAATCGGGGACACGCCCCCCTTCAAGGTGGGGGGATGAACCGCAGCAAGTTTGCATACTTTATAATGGCTAAAGCACCAGAGAGTATGTTCTAGATAGCCTGGGATGTTCAGATATAGTATTTAGTGCATCGTGTGGTGTGTTGTTGTCCTTTTTGTGCAGGCAAGGTCAAGTTTCAGAGTAGCAAGTGTTCAATGCGATTGACGTGGGTTGGCATTTGCACATGTTATTGCCCAGATAAAGAAGACATGAGACATCCAAAAACATCGAGGCTCGTGAGTCCAGCCTTGAAATTTTCGCTTAGATGACCTATGGGCAACTCCTCACGAGCCAACGATGTGCTTCTCGTTGGCCCTGCCAGATCGGCACGTGAGGTTTCTTTGTGGTGAGGCACCGGACAGTGCTTGTTTGCTCCAATATGTGCCCACAGATTTCCTTGCTTGGCCCCAGCCAACCTTTTTGCCGTGGTTTTCTCATCTTGGTCCAATTATAAATATTATAATATGTTGTCAAGTTTGCACAAGGTCGACCTGTCGATCTTTGCGTTCCAACATGTTTGGACAAGTAAGTGTTGCGTGGCTCAAGCTTCGCAGGGCGATGAGCCGCAGAGGCACTGTGGGACACTGGAAGCGTGTTGGACACTGGAAGCGTGTTGTCTCGAGAGTTTGCATCCGGGATGACATTGGAGCTTTGTCGCATGGTCATCCAAAGCAAACAGAAGGCATGCATATGTTTGGTTTCCGAACCAACCATCCTTGAACATGTGAGTAAGGTGTTTGCAGGCTGACTAGTAAAGAAGGTGCGGAACAAGTGCTATACCTTGAGAGAACCCTTATCAATATTATGCCTGCTTTGAGGAAAGATCAACTGCTGGAATGATTGACGCGTTGTGTGTGTGTGTGTTTCTTTTTGGTCCCCTTTCTGAACCGCTGTTGTTTGCTTTGCCCCTATTCAAGTAGCTGAGGCGAAGCCATCGGTTTCGCCACTCGAACCACACACTCGAGTCAACCCTACTCGAATTTAGACTCCTGCTTGATTTTGGGGCGGGGGGTGCACGGCGCGTGCCGGTGTATGTGTGTGTGTATGTGCGCGTACGTTTGGCATGCGGGCGAGCCTGCCCTGTGTGTGCGTGGCGTGAGAGCGACGTGCGCACGCGTGGGAGTGTGCGTGTGTTTGCATGTTTTTGTTTTTTTGCCATCTAAGAGCGGCAAGCCGACTGCCATGGACCTGAATTAGGACCGTTTGCGCTTAGACGTTCGCTTTGATTCAACCCAAAGACCAGGTATGCGTGGGCGGGCTTGTTGGCAGCCTGAGGTCCACGTGGCCTTGTCGCAAGTAGTTTGTTTTTTGTACATTATTGCTGTTTGTCCTTACTTGGGGGGCTGATGCTTTGTCCAAAGCTGTGTGTCCGTACGTTCGGAAGCCGTTTGATGACAAAGGCTGCAGGCGCATAGTTCAGACCGACCGTTTCTGGACATTGGCAGGGAGCCTGTCAAATTGCTCCCAACGAAGCTTTTCACAGCTAGGATATCGCGTGATGGTAAGAACACACCTTGGCAAAATGGGTTTGCTGTGTGTGTGTGTGTGTTGTGTGTCTGTGTGTGCCTCTGTTTGCGTTTGCTTGTGTCTGCTCTGCCTGTGTTTGTGGTTGCATCTTTCTTTGAACCCATGTCTGTATCCGCGGAGGTCGCCGCCGAAGCCAGTGGCGACTCCTGGCCGTATGCCGAGGGAGCAACGAAAGGGAGAGGTTGTCAACGGTCAGGCATGCGAAGCCCAACCCAGCCGGATCCACATGCCAAACAGTATCAAACCCAAACCAAGACTGACCATGACTGAGCAGACAAGTCCAAATCTAACAGAGCACTTTGAACACATTGCCCTCATTTTTCACTTTAAGCGAAAAGGTATCATTTGTCCTTTTGCTTTTCCGTTAGGCCACCCCCAACTGAGACACTAGAAATTGTCATTTTGTGTTGTTTTGAGCTGCCCCAAAGTTCCAATCGCTGGGAAACAGCTTTGCAACCCAATAAAATTGCCACGATGCCTTGACGGCTGAATGTCAACCGCGGACGCCGAGGCAGAGGGCGGGGTAGAGGCCGCGGGCGAGCGCCGGCAGCTGAGTTTCAGAGCGACCATGCTGCATAGTTGCGGTGAGTGGTTTCTCTGGGGCCCAAATTCACACCACCCCAATAACGGTATGCTGAACCAGAAGACACCCATATATTCCCAAGGACAATCCCTTGAATCGAACATGCTGTGCAAAGAACCCACAATATAGTTTGATATGTGCATGTCTCAAACTACTCGTAGGGCCTTGGGGGGTCCCAAAGTGGTGGTTTGCAACCAATCCCAACCAGAGTATCCTGAAGCCACCTGAAGCCACGGCTGCGCGCAGCTGAGCCGAGGACTGTGAAAACCTCACCTTCGCTTACCAAAGGCCTTGCAAGACCTGCGGGGTTGCCTCAAGATGAGGGGACCCCAACAGGAAATAGTTGGCCCTTTAAAGCTGACCAACAGGCCAGACTCATGCAGATGCAGCAACCTGGGTGAATTATAACGACCTCACACGACCTTGGTTTATGTGGGGAATAGCCCCGAACCACCTTATTTCAGGCTGGTGAAATATTATAATTCACCCAGAGCAATTCGTGGCTACGCTCGCTTTCCTGGAATCCGGGTGTTGCATTTGCAGGTCCGTAGCCGACCGACCGGGATGTCAGGCCTTCCGGCGGCGCCGAGCTTGCTGCGGCGGCCCAACCTGCTGGGAGGCGTTGCACATCGAAGGGCAGAGGGACTGGACTCGTAGTCCATTTTAGGAGATCCACTGCAGCATTTCCTATAGATATATTGTCCTGTTGACCCACCTATTCTAGGTCAGCTCGATTACTAGATGGCCCCGCACGCTGCTATTTGGTTCTGCTAGTTTCCCCAACAGGACACCTAGGGACCGATCGAATTTGACCAGTTTGCGCATGGGAAGTTGTATGGCGCTGTCATTTTATTTCATTTGCAGCGGATCTCGATGTTTTTGGTGAGTGAGGGAGGCGTGGGGTGCGTTTGCAAAGCTTTCGTAGATTCCGCGGAAGGCCAAGGAAGAGACTTATCGGCAATGAATGGTACTTGGACAGAGCCCTGATTCGAAGCAACCTTTGGGCTTGGCTGAGTTGAGTAGGGATGATATCCGTGGCAGTTGTTATCCATGTTCCTCATGATTTGACTTCATGACAGTAAAGCACTTGGCAGAGCCTGAGCAAAGAAGGCCCCAGCGCCGGTTTGCACCCATCAGGCGGGGGTGTCAGCCTTTGGGCAGCCTCCCGGCAGCAGCTTATGCGCTGCTGCCGCTGCCAGGCGAACGTGAGTCCAAGCGAGTCAGGTTAGGCACGGAAAGTAAGACTCACCGTGGCTACACGCGACATGCGACCTGCCAAACTCAGCTTCCTTGCCTGAACTTTACGCCATGTGAAGGTTGCCGGCCCAGGCGTTGATCCAAGCCTTCGCACGGATGTTGCAAGCCAAATGAGTGAACAACCGAGCGGCGTGTTTTTGGCCGCAAGCTAATTGAGTAGGGAGAGGGACATTGTTTATTTAAAATGCGCACCGCGCCACACGCGCGGTAGCATGCGGAAGGCTTCGCGGAAGGCTTCGCGGAAGGGATTCTTTCGCGGAAGGTTTGTGGAAGCTTTGTGGTTGATATGACATTATTTGTTTCGGTTTGCGTGCGTGGAGAAACGATTGCAGCAGAAGCAGAAAGGCGTTGCTGCGTACAAGAAACGCTTACTGGAAGAGCAAAAGCCAGCCAAGAAGACCAAAGCAGCTGGCGTATTTCGCGCAAGGTTTGCGGAAGGTTCGCGGAAGCTCTGCGAAAGGGTGGACCCGTGTTTGCAGGCAAGTGCCCACGTAGTACGGGTAGCTCCATGGAGCCCAAGCGTACACAGACTGCGGCGAAACACTACTTTCTGTCCCACATTACTTAAAATGACTTTCCTTTCTGCACCAATACTCGCGGAAGCAAAACTTGTAAAACATGCACCGCAGAAGGTTTGCGAAAGCAAACAATGCAACACATGTGCTGCGGAAGTTTGCGGAATGGACCTCTTGGCCCGCGGCCAGGATGCGGAAGGGCCCGCTGAAGCTTGAATAATGTCCAATCAAGTTTGTAGGGAATAAAAACCAAGGCTCAACTGTGTTCAGGCATTGGAGCCTCGGGTCCAGCTTTGTTGTCGGTAGATATTGGTATGCAGTTTTGATTTGGAGACGCTTCACAAAAGGTGGAGGTGGGGGTCCTCGATTCTAAGGCAAGCTCGATGACCCCTCTTGGTTGGTTTGGAGCGCCTTGCAGGCGCTCGCGGATCTGGGGCATGCGAGGCCGGGGATATTCCAGGCGTCAGGTTGGGGGATTGGGGTTGGGTTGATTTGGATTGGGTTGATTCAACAGAAAGGGGACCTCAACAGAAGGGGGACCTAGTTGAATCTGTTGAAAGTTGCTTTATGAGCTAGGGGAGCTACCAGCTGTAGTAGCAGCACACATGTAGCGGCTCCGAGAAAAAGTGGCTTGTTGCAGGCCCAACCTCCACACCCCAGCACACCTCTCGAGGTTGCTTGAGGTTGGAGCTTGATTTGTAGTCAAGGGCTAAAGTGGAAGCAGGTTTTTCTTATGCCATGAATCCGGGTTCGGGGGTGTGCGAGGTTGCAGTACTGTGTGGTGCAAAGGTTAGTATCACTTGCTTGGCCCATCCTTCTTGTGGAAGCTGACAAAGTGAAAGCAAGTGGGCATGCTTGAAGCGGGATTGGCTAGCGCAGAAGTCTCACTCCGCGAGGGTGCCACTCTTTCTCAGGGGATGCAATTGCAAATGATATTGAATCCCATTCCATGTAGTCAAAGTGTTGCCGCAGCTGCCCAGAGCACGCTAGGATGGCTGCAGCACACACACCAGCACTCGGCGCACTCGGCTAGTCTCTAACCTAGCACAAAGTGGTCCAGGCCTCAGCGTGTGTCTGTGTGTGAAAATCGGCGTGGCGCGTTTCGCTGGCTCTGTAAGTTTCGCCGTGGGAGAGGTTTGGCGTGGGAGCTGGGGGCTTGGAGGTTTTGGGGTTTGATTTCGAGCCTGAGCTCCGGGCCAGGTACTCGGGGAGCCCGGACGCCTTCTGGTGCCCGATTTGCCGCTTTAAGGCGCGGCTGCCTGGGAGGTTGCCTTGATGATTTTTGAAGCGGCGGATTTGCCTGGAGCACTTTCCAACAACAGACGCCTCGCTTTGGTGAGCTCTGTCAGGATCTTGATTCAGAAATGCCAAGTTTTCCTGATGGCATAGGCAACAGTCTGTGTGTCCGACAGTTGGGGGTTGCGGGCGGCGCCCACGTGGCGATGGCTTGCGGTTTAATTTCCCAAAGGCAACAATTCCAGTGATTCATATTCTATTGGTTTTAGCATTGTTTGCACATGAAGCCGCATCTGAGAGCCTTTGCAGAAGTACGGCTTCAATACAAATGATCTTTCTTGATTCCATTGTTGCATGGAAGCATACGGAAGCCGTCTCCACTTGGAGAAGTTCCATATGCTCGAGATAGCCATGCGGTGCTTTTGAAGCCTCGAGCTCGCCAAGGAGGGCAGCGGGCTGACTGACGAGTGTGGTCGACTGCCTTTGCTTCCCTTCGTTCTACCGCTATGTGCCAAACAAACAAACAAACAAACGGGCGTTTTTTGAAAGAGCACGGCCAGAAAGCAGGTCGCGTTCTGATTCGCAGGGAGGGTGTAAGAATCTCCAGGTTGTTCGGAGTGCCAATTCCGACAGGTAATGGATCCGTTTAATGCCGTGGTGGACGGCAATGGGGTGCTCAAGCGACGTGCCCGGTGCAGCTGAGAGAGGAGATGCAGACACCGATGATTGCTTCGAGGGCTGTGTTTAGAAGTATTCAGGCTCCAAGTGCTTAAGTGGTTTCCTTGCATGCAAAACGGTCATAGTGGATCCTGTTTGACACTGCCAAATTGACCGTTTGATGCCATTCTCACACGGGGCACATGGGCGACTGCTAACATTGTTTTGTTGACCTGTTGTTGCACGCACATTGGTCGCGACTTCTACGCAATTGTGATAGGAGGGACCGACACGCTTCCGCATTGCACAGACCTAGCTTTCTTGGTGATCCCTCGCAGAATAGCTAGCTACTTCTTTCAACCACAACCTCTAGTTTTCCACTGAATTTACTTCACTACGGCATGGTGCAGGACATCTTCAAGGATTGGGGGATTGCCATTTCACGGACTTTGCGAGTGTTTGGTGTGTGCTTGATCAGGCAGGGAAGTAGGCAGGGGCTGGAGAAGTCAGGCATAGGGAGACTTTTTGCGGGACCGTAGCATGTTGCATGACACTGGAGAGGAGCCAACATCCCAACTGGAGAATCCCCGACACAAATCCATATGACATACAGCTCTTCCCTCCTTTTGGGTTGAGGCATTTGCTGGTCATGGAGCCGCACTTTGACTTCACCCTGGAGCGACGGTTCGGGCAAGCCGTTTGGAAGCACGGCTTTCCTGTATGCTGACAACGAGGGCAATATGGGTTCGCGGGATGGAACCGCAAGAAAAGGTTGAGTTTCTTCTTACTTGCGAGCAACCACAACGGGACAACGGGCTCCCCAGGCAAAGACACACAAACACGTAAATCTACCGCGGACAGTTACAAAATATGTCTCTTGAAAGCAATGCCAACTTCCACGCTTCGCCGATCTGAAGTTTGGTGTTCCGTTTTGCACTAAGCTCGACCAGATCATAACCAGTCATGAAGGACACATCGGTGGAGGAAGGTAGTATAACTGTTATAACACAATCCCTTCGGAATGGATCATCATTGATAGATAAACTTTCCTGTAGCCTCAGGGGGTGCTACCATGCTTTTGATGCTTTTACGCGGCTGAAGCACAGGTGGCTGATCAGCACACCCCTTGGTGATTTGGATTGGTGGCTCGGGGGGAATTGTAGCATCCCGTATCATGTTCTATCATCCCCTACCCGCCCAGCCACCCACCGGAGCCAGCATATTTGCATAATTGTGGGAACCGAGTGTGGCTGAATTGGTCTACTGGTTCCAGTCCAGCGTTCGCGGTTTGTTTGTCTTGTTCGATGTTGATGCCCAAAATTGAGTAAGGAGACATGAGGTCTGCAGTTTTGTTTTGTCCTCTGTGTTCGCACGTCAAGACCTGCAGCATTCCTGAGATTGTGACCTCACGGATGCCATCCCTATGAATTGCAAAACATTTGCGACAAGCTGTCAGGAATTCACCGCAGGCAACTCACGAGTCATCCGGGTTTGTTGTCCGGTTGAGCACCGATCATACCCCCTCCGAGATGAAACCTAAGGCCCGCCATCGCACGCCCAAGGTTCTTCGGCTTCTTAGCAGGGTCTCTTGAACATGCTCTCTTGTGGGCGTGGTTTTTGCTGTAGTTTCGCGTTCATGCGCAACGAGTGTTGCCGCCCCGAAACACAGCGAAACGTATCCACATTGTGGCTTGGAACAAGTTGCAATTGATGTGTATTTTGGCGTGGCATGCTAGGGTGGGACTGGCAATCAAGAGAAGAGTTGAGATCGCAGGATGGGGTTCAGGACTGGACTGAAGCATTGAAGGAATGCTTGCTTGCTGGCTCCAGCATTCAAGCGCGACCCGCACTTCCTCAAGCTCTCGTGTGACCCCCGAGATGAAGCGGCAGCTGTACCAGGCCCGCAAGGCGGACAACGCTTGCTTCAAATGCGGAAGACCTGGGCACTTCTACAGCGAGTGCCCGCTGACTGCGATGGACCGGGCAGAGAGGAAGGGTGAGAAGCCGGAGGTGAGGTGCACGTTTTGCCAGAGCAAGGACCACCTCATCACGGAGTGCCCGCAAAAGGAGAGGAGAAAGTGAGTTGAGCTTTCGGCTTACGCGTGCTGAATGCGCGAGAACTGTGATCTTTAGTGCTTTGAGCCTCGCTCCGCTGAAGCTGACGTTGGTTCCGGTGGATGTGTACAGATTTCCCACCGGCTCGCAATCCATGAGGTGACAGGCCAGAGTTTCTGCCCGAACACCTCAGCGGGAGCACTTGGCATGGAGACTGATTCAAGAATGTCGCCAAAAGGCGCGCGCGTGTGTGATGGGAGCTTCAGCTGGCAGCGCGCTGGCTGGCCTGACCTGTGAGGCTTGCTGTTGGGGTTGGGGGAACGCAAGGGGACTGGTGTTTCTACTTACACCTGCGCCCCGAATGGTGGACACTTGTCCATTCAGCAACCACCTTGTTTCAGAAGGCATTGGTGTTGAAGGTGTCAGTCGGCAAAATGGACGAAGTGTCCATCCCCCACCCCCCCCCCCCACCTGCCACTCGCCTCCCCCAACCCCAGGAGCTGCCGGATCTTCGTCTCTGGCGGCGGCAGGGCCTGGGCTTGGAGGTGCGGATGCTGAAGGCCGGGCGTTTCGGTGTCGTGCGTGTGGATTTCCCCTGGCCCCGTGCGTCATGAGCTTACCAGCGCCAGAAGTCAGCCCCTTCAAGTGGTAGGTCAAAGGGAAACAGCCAACCATTGTTTGACTTTGAGAACCTACAGAAACAATGGACAGAATGAGTGGGGAGTCGGGATGCGGATCTGGGATATGTGCCGGCCAGGCAAAGGAACATGCTATGTGACATATGCGGTATGCTGGAAGGTATTTTTCCGCAAATGTGTGTGATCTCTAGAGTGAGGAGAGCATGGCTTCTCTTGGGACTCGGTTGGTTTTGACAGTCCCATATTTTCCGGCAGAGGGCCAATTTCCGGCAGAGTTGACCACGTCAGCCAAGTGGCAGGTCAAAGGGAAACGGCCAATTGTTGTTTGACTTTGAGAACCCACAGAAACAATGACAACAATGAGTGGGGAGTCGGGATGCGGATCTTGGATTTGCTGCCGGCTCGAAGGGGGATGAGATAGGCGAAAGGCGAAAGGACGCTTGAAACAGCACCGGCTGTCGATGGCCGGTTAAGGCTGCTGCTGCTGCTGCTGAAACACAAAGAAATGTTGATGAATGAACAGCCAACACGCGCAAGGGCCAAGAGTCAAACCAGGGCCGTGGGCCACCGCATGACGCGGACATAAGGAACTGCGGGGAAGCAGCGCGGAAGGCGCACGGACGAGTTTGTCCAGGCAACCATGTCCCCCTTAAAGCTGTCCCCCTTAAAGCTGTCCCCCTTAAAGCTGTCCCCCTTAAAGCCCTTCACAAAGTGTTCAAGTAGAAGCTGCTCAAAGCTGCCTGAACTCTTCCAGCTGCTTCAGAACGGCAGCTCTTGCTCTAGTTCTGAAAAAACAGCTCACCAAGGTTTCAAAGCAACAGCAAACCATGAAGGAAGACCATCAACGTGCTCTTTTGGTTTCCAATGGGTGCCGAAGCGCGCGGAATTTTCGTGAAAAGGCAGCGAGAGGGCACAATCCGAACATAAACACGCACAACCACGCAATTATGTGTTTATTGGCTTGGATGTTGTGATTGACACTTCGGTTTGGATGTTTTGCTTGGACATTCCGCACGTTGCCTGCTGTTTGCGACGGGTACTAAGGTGGACAGCTGCAAGGTGGAGCAGGCCCAACCGATGCGGGAACACCATTTTTGAGTGTGTCCATTTGTGCCCGAGTATCCGGTTTAGATGCAGAACCCGCAAAACGCTACTGTTTTATTTTGCTTTCCCTCCACAATACCCCCTCTGGACAGGACACGCCAATTTGGTTCCAGTATGTTATTATGCTCTCAGTTTGTAAGGCGGATCAGAGTCAGCATCCGGATTGAAACTACCACTCAGATGGAGCATTTATATACAATTGCAAGGTATGGGTGCCAATAAATGCGTGAAGCTTGCAACACCTTGGGGCGCTGCTCGCTCGCGCCCAGAACCCGAATGATTCAGCACGGAAGCTTGTGAGGATGTTGATGATGGAGGGGGTAGTGAGTGTGGTGCCCGCGCTAGCAGCCTTCTCCTGGTCCTGTTCGCTTTAGCATGGTTGTGCCGTTGAAACAAAAGCAGGAAAAACAAATTCAGGCCTTTGCAATGGAGGCTATGTCTTCAACCGCGCGTAGTGTACTCCTGGAAAGTTTCCGAAGATCTGAGGCTTCATCTTTGAAGTCACGGCAGGTGTGGCCTCGGCAGATTCACTTCTTTGCGAACGGAGCCGAGGTGCGCACTGGTAGGTTTGCATATGCACGCCCCCCCCCCCCCACCCAGAATTTGCAAATGGGCACAATGTGGCTTTCAAAGAACCACGTATGGAGTGGGATGTGTCTAGGTGTTTCAATTCAAGCCTCCAAGCAAGTTGTCACGGGGAGGAGGCTTTCTACCGAGTTCCCGAGCGCCATTGATGTCATTCTCTTGGCCCTCCCAGGTGTGCGAAACCGAGGGACCCACCAAATCTCTGACGGCTTGGTGCAGGAAACCAAACATCGGCTAAACCGTTGGAGAGATCTATCCGTGGGCCGTTGACGCATCAGAGCAGCTTGCCACTCCCCTGGTGCCACTCGGTCAGAGGGCGGCTTTCTGTGAACCACGGCTTTAGTAAGCTGAGGCCCGATATGCGCAGGCCACGCAGGTGAGTCAGTAGGGCCAGTATCCCCCCGTTCTTTTTAGAGCCAGTGGCTGCAGTGGACTTTTGATTTTTATCCAATGGCTTGATTTGGTCCATTTGTTTTGCCGTGACCCCTTTGAGGCAAAACCCACCCTTGCCAGGTCTTTGCAGTGCATCCTCCGGAGGAGCGGCGAGTGGGGAATTAATTGACGTTTTCGCGAACCGGTGGGGAGCACGACTTCTGTCTCGTGCCATCTGCGCGAGCGTAACCTTTGGAGACTTTCAACCGAGATTGGCAGCACCTCCCGTCTCGAAGCCACAAGTATTGTTGCAACCGGTCTGTTTACTGGCCAATCAATTCCTGAACCCAACAAAATGCATCAGTCCCAAAGGCCTTCAGCGCATGAATCCTGAGACACGTACTCCTAAGCAAACTTGCAGGGAACCCACAAAACTGGCAAAGCAACCCTGTTATACGCATGTATGCATATTACTTCGCAGCCCTTGCCCGTATACAAATATGACATAGATGCATGCACACACATACACACCATATACACATACATACCTACCTACCTACCTACCTACCTACCTACCTACCTACCTACCTACCTACCTACCTAACCTACCTACCTACCTACCTACCTACCTACCTACCTACCTACCTACCTACCTACCTACCTACCTACCTACCTACCTACCTACCTCCTACCTACCTACCTACCTACCTACCTACCTACCTACCTACCTACCTACCTACCTAACCTACCTACCTACCTACCTACCTACCTACCTACCTACCTACCTACCTAACCTACCTACCTACCTACCTACCTACCTACCTACCTACCTACCTACCTACCTACCTACCTACCTAACCTACCTAACCTACCTACCTACCTACCTACCTACCTACCTACCTACCTACCTACCTACCTACATACATACATACATACATACATACATACATACATACATACACACATACACACATACACACATACAGACACAGATGCACACATAGCACACACACACACCTACTACCTGAACGGGCAAGCGCACGCTCCCGTCCCGACCCACAGGCGCAGACACAGACGCAGACTTTAAGACAAACACGGACACAGCATACACGTGCATATTCACGGGTCGAACAATAATCCCCGCCTTTTATGTAAGGGTCCGTAACTATGATTGGAGCCCTGGAACACTGTAGACCGATGCCGAGGCACAACGCGATACCCGTAGAAGCCATGAAGCAACACATCAAGTCCAAGTTGTTGTCGCAAACTAAGATTGCGAAAACATTATTTTGCAGGGCCCAAACTGATGTCCAACCGATAGCCGAGTCATTCGCCGTTTGCCCTAGAGCTGCCAAAATATACTTTGTGTACTACTTTGGCATTGAACACTTGCGACTTTCGAGCCAGACCTGCCAAAGTGCACTTCTGAAAAGTCGCGACTTTCGAATCGAGCGGCAGCTGCCCGAGTGAATATGCTACGCTTGTACAGAAAAGTCGTGACTTTCGAATCGAGCGGCTGAATTTGTATGCTACACTTGTACTGCAAAGTCGTGACTTTCGAATCGAGCGGCGGCTGCCTGAGTGAATGCTACACTTGTACTGAAAAGTCGCGACTTTCGAGCTGGAGCTGCCAACATACGGCAAACCGATGCAGGGGCAAAAACGATACTAACCTGCTGCCAGGGTATAGGGTTACGAGGATTCTCCACGTTTTTTTCTTATACGCTCACATTCCAAACCTGCTACCCTGCCTTGCCTTGCCTGACCCTACCTGCATACCTACCTGGACGTGCTGGAGACATGCCTTTAGCGTCAGTCCAGTTGTGCCAACGGGCCCTGCCTTGCCAGGAAGGTCACAAGCGCCGTGACGTTCCCATGAACATTTCCGCGGGACTGAAGGCCGCGGTGTGCAAGTCGCTCGCACTTCTCGAATGGAAAGGTAGTCAGCAACTTTGAGAGCTGGAACATGTGATGTGCAGACGATTTTTTAAAATAGGTGAGCACCATCACATGACGGAGAAGACGGGCAGCCTGAGGAGTGCTTCCCTGCATACTTGAATTGGATCTTACCTACGGACAGCCATCAATCCTTCCGTGCAACATATGAATTTGTCCATTGTTGTAAACTCTCTCTCTCTATACATATACCGGCCGATGGGCTGGGAAATCAGGATGATTGCTGTTACAGAATGGTCTTCCAAATCCAGGTCATTTTGATCGCCCTTTTTCAATAAGGCTACTGGACCCTCGCCATCATTCAGCATCTCAAAATCAAGGGCCTTCCATTTGGGTATTGTGTCAGCACGGGCTGGGGGGACCCTAAAAAGAGGTTTGTTTTTTTTGCTTTCCCGTTAAACCAAGTCTCAAGGTGAACAGGGGACCCTCAAAAACAAAGACACACACACAACACACACACACACACACCTTTGGAGCGGCAGATATTTCGGGTTGGCAGAATCGGCCGCAGGCGGGGCTGAATGACATCAAGGTCCGAATGGTTTGCCTCCCAGAGCAGCTGATCGGTATTCAGGTTAAGGCTAGCGTGCCCCTGGCTCATTGAACATAAACTGTTTGGGGGCCTTCCCGAAATCACAGCAGATTTCCTTGCAGGCAGCATCTAGAGTCAAATCTGGAGGGTACAGTATATTTGAGAGTGTCAAAATAATTGATCCAGTTGCTTCGTATGGATCACCCATGGGTCGCTAAAGTGCTTCAGCCGCATGAAGGAAATTGGCCGAATCTAGAAGCAGAGGAAGTCTGGCAAAAGGCTTTGAGGAGGAGTCGAGCATTTATCTTGCCTAGAGAGTTGGACGTTGAATGGATGCCCTGGGAACCCAGACCTTGTCGGTTCTGCTCAGAGATGCCCACATTTTTGGCGGGTCACCCCATCGTGCTTGTAAAAGTTGTTGGGGCTTTTCACGGCTGGGCCGTTGGGCAGGTGCGAGTGGAAATCCTAGGCGTATAGGAAATGTGTTTAATTCATGAATGTTGCGCTTTGTGGCAACAAGCTAAGAGCAATCATTTTGGTCTGTTTTGTTGCATTTCGGAGGATATGAATGGAAGCAACAGTCTCTAACATAAATGCTAGCCGAGCAGAAGTAGTATCCTGCACCAACATCAATGCGGTCTCACCTCCACGCATGTTCACATTTGTCGCATTTGAGTATGGTTTGTTCCTGCTGATCTCTGGCGGCCCATTTGACGAACTTCATATATTTGTCATGGAGAGGAGGCTCCTATCAGGGACTGGGACAAGCCAGGATTTTATGTCGTGACCCACTGGCTGGAGTCTCAACTTGCTTAAATGGCAAAGTCTACCACACGGCCCTGTTGAGGCTCTATACCCTTCTCCTAAGAATGACGATGCTGTAAAACATCTTCAACAAACATATAAACAGTGGAGGCAAGCAAATTTTACTTCAGACCTTGCCGGGTTCCAGGGTGAGTTGCCAATGTTTGAATATATGTCAGTGTTATGTTGGACAAGTGTTCCAGAATGTCATTCTTAAGAATATTATGTAGACAAATCCGACCACGACCTTGCCGGAGTTGGAGCAGTCCGTTTTTCCGGACCTGGGAAAGCCTGTTTTATCACTAGACCAGCTGGGAGGGCGTTTCCCCCATGTCTTTCCAGCCGTTTGAGGTGGACGACGACTGCGTAGGCTTTGCCATGGTGGTGCTGCTTACTAGCAGCCAACCTGCAGAGGCCCTGATGGCGCAGGCGCGATGAGCCAATTGCCCTTTTGGTGTCCTTGAAGCGGCAAGCTGTTGACAGCTCCGAGTAGGACTTTGAGAATGTCATTTGCAAGAAGGGAACGAAGAGACATGGGACAGCCTCACTGTACTATTGGTTCGTCAAATTTTGTAATCGTTCTCACCACGATTGATTTGACAAATTCAGAACTTGGCGGTGGTGCAACAGCCCAAAGGGGCCTCCGCCAGCTCCAGGCGGTCCCCAGAGCAACAACAGCCTGACTTGGCTTGGGGTGGGCCCCAAGTTCTCGCAGAAACCGTTTCCACACCCGGGGCTCGTAGTTTGGCTTTTTTGAGGGTTGTCAAAGTCCGAAGCTTAGGTTGTTTCCCCGTGATCAAGCTGAACAAAGCTCAGGCAACTGAGATGGGAACCAGCACAATGCACTTGAGCCAGCACAATCAAACCTGAAGTTTAGCAAGGAACAGTGCACAAACAAGTGCGACAGGGCGTCTTTGTCCTTGGTTTTGGGTAGACCCCTTTCATATCTGGTTGGGATTCCGACTCACTTCCGGTGACCTGCCTCGTGTTGTCCGGAGGTGCCGCGCAGCGAGGCGCCGCTGGCGCGGCGCAGGGTCTGTGAGCTGCTGGCGAGGCAGGCGGCCAGCCCGGGCGCCCAGCCGTTCAACCTGGGAGTGTCAGGTGGGCGGGGAAGGGGGGACGGAGGGCGGACAAAGAGGAGGAGCAGCAGCAGCAGCGAGGGGGGAGAAGGGTTTGCCTAGGTTGGTGTTTGTTCTGTTTTTGTCAGTCAATGGGCGTTGTGCGTGTGTGTGTTCTGTCCCCTTTCTAAATGAATTCCAGCTCTCTAGCACTACTTCCGGTCGAATCTAACGCAGAGCTTCGTAGCAACAGCTGCAAATGTCTGTCCTTTGCTTACGGTAGTGATGCAGAGAACTGAAGATCTGAGGAAAATAATTCCTGCTAGCATCATTTGTTTTAGGCATTACACGTTTGATGTGTTAATTTGGTTCTGCGGTCAGAAACCAACCTGCTGTGAGGCGCCACGCTGTGCCTGGGTTGTCCGTGCCAGGGCCTGGCAAAAGACCAAACATGCCAGCCGTACTTCCGGTCGAATTTAACGGGGAGGTTTCGCAGCAACAGCTGCAACTGAACGTTCACGTTTGTCCTTTGCTTACGGTAGTGATGCAGAGAACTGAAGGGATGGGACAGAGTTAGAGATAGTTGGGTAAAATAGGGAGCTAGACCCGAAGAATGGATTTTGGGTGTTTCTTTTGGTTGCCGTTCCCAAAACGGATCCAAAACACACCCAGCTGGAAAGACTTGGGCCGTCTTGAAGCTCAGACACGCGAGCCGGAGATGCCGGGGAGGAGGCGCGGAGTGCCAGTGCTTCACTGAGTCGCAGGCGTTTCTGAAATGGTGACCCCCCTCTGGTTACAGCAAACCGAACGAGAAGCCCAACATGGTTTACTTCAAATAGTTTATAGTGGTCCCTCAATAATTAAAGGGAACTCCAAAGAAAACCAACCGTTTGTGGGACCACTACTTTGAGAACCCGCCAAGCGGCAGGAACTTGTGTGCCTCAGCTCAGACACTTTGAAGCTGCAGTGCCCCATCACCATGGAGCGCGTCCAGGACCGCATGGTGCCCATCAATGTTGTGAGCACTGTGTGGGTCCTGAAATTCTGGTTGCGGCAGACTTCATGAGTTGCACAGAATGTAAGAAGGAATTGCGTCTTTTTAGGCAGCCAAGCCCTTGATTTGGTTTGGATTTTTGCCTCGAGCCAGAGCAAGCTTCATGCACGTACACAGATCGAGAACTCTTGAACAAACTTGCCGCTTGGTGTCGTCGCATGATCGCATAAGGAATAAGAGCAGGCAATGAATGCAGCAAGTATGTTGACTAGTGCAGTTTTTGGATTTGTGTTTGCCACTTGTTTCTTGCTGCTTTGCAGGATCCGGTGCGAGGGGAGCGGTGTCAGCACACGTTTGGTGCCCAAGTGCCAAGATGGCTAAGATGCCTTGGAGTTGCGCGCAAGGGGTCCAAACCAGCTGGGGGCCACATTCACAAAGCTGCGCATCAGTCTTTTATTATTTGGGTCTGTTATCCGGCTTGCCGTGAAAGGTCTTGATCCGCCAGAAGATCCAAGAACACAAACCTCAGCTCTTGCCATTGATAGGTGCCGCGACTGGCAATCGGCGATCGGTCACGAGGCAGTGCTTCAGCCTGGAGGCATACGTGATGAGCAATCGCCAGGCACGTGCTTTTGGTTGGGACTCATAGGGCTTTGCCAGGCTCGCTTAAATTTTGTGCCTTCAGTCCCTTCAGTGTTATTTCCCCATATTTCCCCTCCTGACTTTGAAATGCACAGAATGCCGGCTGCCTTTCAAACCCTTGGGACTTCGTTTCAACTCGGTATCTTGTTTGGTGGATCTTGTTCTGAGGCAACGGTGCGAGCTTTCCTTGCAGGCTTATTGACATGTTTCCTGACTTTTGCCAGAGATTCTTGCCTTTGGGGTGCCCTTTTCAGGTTGATTTCAATTGAAAGCAAAAGGAAAACAACATTTATCTGGATACCATATGTTGACACAACCCCCTATTTCAATGTCATGACATGGTGTAGCCAGTTGTTCTGGGTTGAGATGCAGGGGTCTTTGCAGCTGCAACATAGGAGAAGGAACAATAGGTGCTTGCGGGGAGGGGAGACAAATGTTGGACATGCAAACCAAGACTCGGCTCTGGTAAAATTCCCGCTCGCTGGGGTTCCGCATCCCGGCGACTTGCCAGATGGGCGCCTTCAACCGACGCTGGCTGTGTCCACTGTGCCGATCCGGCCGCGTTTGATGCTGGGGCGAAATCTGTTTCCTTCTGGGTTTCCTTTAAACCCACCAAAACAAAAGAAGCCCTCGCAAAAACTGCCATCACGGGTTTTGATGGCCAGCAGTGCCAGCCTGATCTGCTGGTACAGCCGAGCCATCTCCGGCCAGGCAGCCTCATCCTTCGGCCGCCGGACCTGCGAAGGGACAGCTACGTGGCGAAGATCCTGGACTCCACGCGGATCGCCCAAGCGATCCGCAAGCCCCTGCTTTGGAGGGCGTTAAAGGGAAACACGAGGAAACCACTTATTTTTGTTTTGGCGGGGGGTTCTCGGATTTTGAGACGAACGCATGCTTGGTTTTGTCTGTGTGAAGTGGTGCAAACATGTCCAGTCATATCCCGTACCCAGGCGACTGTCTCATAGGGTTTGGGGTTTTCTTGGTAAGCTGAAGGGCTGAACCTCGCACTTCCTGCTTGTTTTCCTGTAAAACAACTCTTCGATTGGGGTATATACCTCAAGCAAAGACATATGTGTTTGCTTGCTGGCCATGACCAGCGGTGTGTTCAAGATGACGAATGGAGGCACCTGAAGCGCAAGAACATGTTCATGTCTTTTTTGTTTGAGCCTGACGAGCCAGCCCACCGATCGATCACCCAACCGCCTCCTTTACCTGAGAAGGTCCATTGCCCTTGCCACCAGCCATCCCAAATGGGCATGGCAGAGGGTCCTCGACAGGGCTTGATCAGTCCCCGTTTTCCCAAAGAGTTCACAAAAGGCCTCCCCAGTAGTTCTTGGGCGAATGGGCGGTCGCCTGCCTGGTCGGTTTCCACCTTTGGCCGCAGTTTCTATGGTTGGGAAGTCTTTGATAAAATTAACAAGTTGTCTCCACATCGTTTTGGTTTGCATGAAACAACCCCAAAGCACCTTTGGCAACTGGTTCTGCATTGGGGGCCCTGGAAGGGTTTTATCAAAATGAGTTCCCTTTCGGATGCTCACATGATTGTTCTTTGGGTGCATGGGATCGGAACCCGTGAATTAGACACGGTTGAACGGGTCCCTTTCCTGTTCCCGAGCGTGCCATAATGCCGCTATTGTGCCATGCAATTGCCGCTCCACCGCCCCGATGGCGGTCAAAAGGTTCCCCCAAGTTTGTTGGTTTCCTTTTTCATGTTAGACTTCGGAAGTTGCCCAAACCCATGTAGTATTCGGATTCCTTTTCTCCCCTCAGAAGCAAAGTGTGGCTGGAATGCAAAGTCGCTGCTGTGCAAGGCCAGAATCAGTGGATGAGGCTGGATTTGCCGTAGGTCAGGTACCAGGTCGTGATGTTCCACTGTCGGCATCCATTTACTAAATGGCCATGAGTCAAACTCCCGTACCTTCAGTGAACATTCCAATCCCCACTTAAATAGACTAAAATGGGTGGTGCACCTACCCCGAAATGGTACCATTGGTTTTGACCCACAGCCAAATGAATTCTGGACGCTGCTCGCAGCCAGCTCGCAGCCGTGGTGGTCTCTTTCTTTTTGTTCACTGCCGCCATGCACTGACAGGGACAAGCCAGGTGTTGTTTTTTAGCTGCATTCCCTTTGGCGAAAGTTTGGCTTCTCAGCACTGAGCTCAATGCTGGACATAAATAGGTTTACTGAGTTGGGAGTGTCTTGGCCTGACATGTTCTAGAGCATGAGGTGACCAAGTTACCATGCCATGTTACCTTGGCAGCAGGTGATTGTGGCTGCAGATGGGTCCTGGAGGTGCCTTGGAGCTGAACCGGCCGGGGAGGGATTCAGCCAGGCCGAGGCCGCATATGAATGAAGCGTTCAAATCGCCGGGGTATTTTAGCTACCCTGTTTGGGGTGGTTTGAAAAGGCTGTTGCTGTCAACACATTCAGCTGTATATCAAAACCACTTGTTGACAGCTCTGAACCTATCCGCAAAAGAAGCCTTGATTTTGACGCACACCCACGGTTGGCCTTGCCATACTTCGGGAATGAAGCGCAAAGCCGCACAGGCATCAAATACATTGGTTTCTGTGCATCGGGCAAGGCTGCGACTGGATTCAATGCTCAATGCAAAGCGCGGAGGGTTCGATTTTGCAGCTCACCGCACTCAATCTTAACCCCAAGAGGTCCGAAAGTACCTTGTCTGTATTTTAACTGCCCAGATCTCAGGGAAGTTGTTTTATTGCGACCTGTCAGCCCATCATTTGGTCCCGGTTTGGGCCGGGGGCCTATTTTTTGTTCGAGGCTGGTGAAAGTATGATGAGTCACTTACACAAACAAGTTCATATGTGTAATATATGTATCTCTATATGTATATATGGAATATGTACACATGATGGTAATGTTCACAATTGTACTACATACTGCTCCTCCTACTACTACTCCTGCTCCTGCTCCTGCTGATCCTGCTGCTACTGCTGCCGCCGCAGCTGCTGCCGCTGCTGCTGCTGCCGCTGCTGCTGCTGCTACTACTACTACTACTACTTGCAGATAGAGAATAATTGTAGTAATGATAAGTTATCATGATGATAATATTACTGATGAGAATGAGGATGAGAATGAGGATGAGGATGAGGAGGATGAGGATGAGGATGATGACGATGGCGATGGCGATGGCGATGACGATGACCATGATGATGATGATGATGATGATGATGATGATGATGATGATGATGATGATGATGATGATGATGATGATGATGATGATGATGATGATGATGATCATGACGATGATAAAACATGCTTCTGTTGCTGATGATGATGATGATGATGCTGGAGATTATGATGTTGATGATACTACTAATACATTTTGTGTCTAAAGCTTTTGACATACGCATCTACAGCTTGCAACCATCCACACTCGGGCGTTTGATTATAATTGCGACAACAATGCGAATGATAAATACTACTCGCAACTAAGAATTATTTTTTTGTATACACCTGTATGTATTTGTTTAAGGTTCTTTTTCGGGTTGAATGAATGTTTCAAAAGAAACCACAGGGCCGGGCGATCACTCATGTTCAGTGCCTTGCCCACATCTTCCTCCAAAGTCTAAACCTTCAGGCCGCGCGATGGGCTGGCATCCCAGGGCAGCGAAGGCAGACGCTGGTTTCCAACCCCGGTGGGTTTCCCGTTGTGTGGGTGTATGGCAATAGAAGGGAAGCGCATATCAGAGGCCATGTGATTGAAGCCGAAGGATTATTGATTGTGTTTGAAGACAGTGCCCGGGTTCTTCTATCCGCAATCCTGTTGTTGAGCCGCATGTTGACTTGAACAAGTTGCGCGCGAGCTTTGTATGACCTTTAGCAGGGCGATCTTGGGCAGGTATAGGAAAGCGACAAAGCACCCACAGTCCAAGGCACGCACAATCGAACTGAAGCAAACATGACGGCCTAACATATATGCAATTTGTATTCAGAACCAAGACCGTGTGTTTGCTCGCTTTGCTTTCTGGCCAAAGGCAGACTATGCAGCCATGCGGGTTATGTCAGCCTTGCCACACACAAAGAAGTCTCCTGACGTGCGCATCTACTTTGTTGTGGAACCCAAGTGCGCCTTCAGTGTAGGCTGTGGGCAGTCGCATTGACAGTAGCCATCTTAAGAGAAATGACATGTGTGGGCCAGTTGGCGAAGTCCGTTTCAAAAATGTTTACTTTTCGTTTTTTCAGCCCACCAACAAGGTGTGTTTTTTCCTTTCTTGAATGAAACGATGCTTTCACCACAAAGGGTTCCTGAATGTTGGTCTAGCAAAGCGCTTCCCAACTCGCAGCTCACTTTGCCGCTTTCAATGCCAGGCGTAGCGCTCGCCTCGCTGGTGGATGCGGTGGATGCGGTGGATGCGGTGGAGGCGGTGGAGGCGGTGGAGGCGGTGGAGGCGGTGGAGGCGGTGGAGGCGGTGGATGCGGTGGAGACGGTGGATGCGGTGGAGGCCAGGAAGCTGTCCAAAGGGTCTGTCCTGTAACTGTGGAGCAGAAAGAAAGAAATGAAGAAAGAAGGACAGAACACAATGAAAGGAAAAAAGGGAAGGAAGGACAGAAATAGAGGAAGACAGAAAGACAAGAAAAGAAGAGAACATTCGAACGTCGCTATGGAGATATAGGTGGATGGATGTGCAGATGCGTAGGTGCACAGATGGGCAGATAGGCAGATGGATAGGTAGATAAATAGATGCGCAGGTAGATGAATGGAATTGTATGTAGATAGATAAAAGGACAAATCAATAGGTCAAGAGGCAGGTATATGGATAGGCAGAGACATACACAGATATCCATGCCACGGCTTTGCGCAATTAATACGCATTCGGGTTCGTGACTTTACTTTTTATATATTTAGAGAGAGCGAACATCAGTTAGTTCTAGTATTACTTCCTTTGACTAGCACTCATAGCGCAAGCAAATTTATAGATACAAGCTGAAATATATCCTGGGCCACAGCATCCAAAAAGATGGTGGGGCAGGGGAGCACCAGTTCAAAGAGTCCCCTGCTTTCCTTCTCTCCCCCCGTCTGGGCAGCCACAGGCAACCAACCATCTTAAATCTGCATCAATCTCAAGCCTCGTTGCCAAACTGCACAACAGTTTGTGCAATAGGTTGCTCCCATAGTTATTTGAAGATGTAGCAATGAACTGTGGGTTGCACAATAGAATGCAGAGATACAAATACAGAATGCAAAGACTGCATATTCAACAAATGTTCGCTTAGCCTTAACAGTTCCATGCAGAGGTATAGAATACACAAGTCATGCACCACCAAGACTGCATATTTAACAGATGCTTGCATAGCCTTGGCGTTTCAAGCATACCCACATTGGGCAGTGTGGCACACAAACAGCAAACAAGAGGATGCTGGCAGTGTTTGCGATGCAACACGTAGGTTTTGGAGGGGCTTAGCGTTGAACACGTATATGTCTACGTGTAGCTGTTCTGCTCGTGGCTTTGTTTTTTGTGCTTTGAGCTTCTGAACACATTCCCAGATCACATGCTCCAATGTCCGTTGCAGTTGGTTCGCAGGCGGCTATTGCCAGCTGAAGGCTTGTCGGATGTCATTCCAAGATGCTTGATGAGTGCACGGCATTGCACGGCCTTTGTGTTGGGTGGGTAGACCCTGGATGAATTGATTTGGCAGGTTTGTGTGAGGTTTTTCCGCCAAAAGTGAAGAGAGAATGCCCTCTAAAATGGGACTCCCACCCCCCCCCCGGCGCCCCCCCCCCGGCTGCTCCACCACGTGTTGAATCCTGGAAAAACCGTAGGAAGCCATCACAAACCATAGGAATTTGGAGAAGCTGACGAGGAGCCGTGTGAGCCGGTGGATCTGGACCCCACGCCCAAGACCCCCACCACGCCCAGGCCTGGAACATCCGTCGACCATTTGGTTCAATTCCAGCCGGAAGGCCCATGGTCTATGGCTCTCTATCAACATGCAACTTTGTCACAGAAAAAGAAAGGGTTTCCGGGGTATCGCATTCCCCACGGTTGCGTGGGCATGGCGAGCGGTTTGTCCTTCAAGGGTTTAAAAGAAGCTACGCACTGGGTGGCTTGATGCAAAGGCGTGGGTGTTGGTGAGGTAGTTGGGTTTCATGCAAAAAGAGACCACATTGTGAGAAACACCTGTATTGGGCGAGGCGTGCCTTTTTGCACGGGAACACAGAGCGACAAGGCCACCTTGGGACACCGGAACCTTGGAGGGGAGATGGAGAGGCGATCTCATGGAATTCATTTGGGCATGTGTCAAAATAGGGAAACGCGAAAGATTGGTTTTCTCTTGGCTTCCCAATTTTGTCAACCACCTTAAAACAAAGGCACACACACAGACACCCGTTTGGGCGCCCTTTCGGCCGTTCCTGTGAAGAAGGATGTGTTCGTCGGGGATGGATTCCTCTTGTCAGGCCAGGGTGTTTGGTCAATTTCCATTCACCTAGGCTCAATAAATATGTTTGTGGTAATCTTTGCTTGGCATGTTTCTTTGGAGTGCAGACCGGGTTGCGAGCCTGAGCTGGCTTGTGGTTGACGTTTGCTTTAACATGACTTATGAACAAGGAAGCTGTACGGACCTCATCAGTTCACTGGCCCTCGGTCACCCGTTGCTTCTGGCCGACCAAACCAAGAACATGTCCAACGTTCTTCTCTCCCCCCCTGGCTGGGCAGGCCACTCGACTGAGTGACAGCACAAACAGCACATGACAACGGTGGTAAAAGGGGATACACATACTCGTACACGCCTTGTGGCCTTTGAGCGCCCAGCTCCGCAGGCAAAGTGAGCCAGGCGCACGTGGGATACGTTCTCAACATGTCACCGAGTGAATCAACACCCCGGTACGCGAAGGTTAGCAAAAGGTGATGCCGACCAGAAATCGTTGCGGGTATCTGACCTTTTGAGTCTTTTCATGATTTTTGGGTGGAACAGTTTACTGCCACGTTCTGATTATCATGTGATGTTGCCCAAGTTGCTTGCCCAAGTTGCTTGCCCAAGTTGCTTGTGAGTAAGTTGCTTGTGCAGTTGACAAGGGATTCGCGGTACCTTGACTTGGATATTGCGCAACGGCCTCATTTGACTGAAGTCGATCGACACCAGGACGAGCCCAAATGCAAACTACCAGGGGTGTCTTTGTCCAAGGAAAAGCCCTTCGCAGGGAACTGGTGTGCCAAAGGTAGCCTCACAAAAGCAAATGCGCACACACACACACACACACACAGGCGCCGACGCGGGCGCAGGCGCAGGCGCAGGCGCAGGCGCAGGCGCAGGCGCAGGCGCAGCTTGCTTCTATACAGTTTTGGGCGGAGCAGTCTCAGGAGATGAGCTTGACATCTAGCAATATCAACATGTTGGGCTGAATCCTATTGGCGTGACCCATGTGGTACATGATGAGACAGCTACGAGGAGCGGATGGCGACTCGATGGTAAAAAAGGTAAGGCTCAGGCTCAGATGTTTATTTTGTTGCTCGAGCTTTGCAGCTCTATGCTTTCCGATTTTCGCTTTTCTGGTGTGGTATGGTCACTTCCTTGTACCCTGTTTTGGCTCAAGGGAAGCGAGGACAACGGGCGTTCGATTCCCACGCCCAAGCTACACTTCGGGGAGATGCTCGCCAATTTTCGCTTTTTGGCAGTTATAGGCGAAACAGATTGACGAAGGAGGGCTTGGACATTGGGACATTTGTGAAGGTGGTTTTGTGTTGTGGCACACTTGCCTAGTGAAGTTGAGGGCGTGATTTACAGGAATGACAACGCGGCGCAAAATGGTATGAAAAGTCTATGGTGGACTGTGTGGGTGAGGACAAGCCATACATGCCCCCCCAGTTGGGTGGCTTTATGGTGGGAAGGTTGCCAGGAAAAGATGAGGTTGTCGCACATGTGGCCAATTATCGCTTTCGCGTCATTGAGTCCGGGTGATAGCAGAGAAGCCCAACGGTGAAGTGTATCTTTGTTGTGGCTTCGACGCTGAGTTACGCGCAATGGAAAAGCTACGCCTCCTTCTGCTTCTTGTTGCGGCTTGTGCGTGCTTTCCGGCCTTTGCCGCGCGAGTGGCGCCAGTCATTGGCACGCAAGTGGCGGCAGACATGCGTTTTCACAGATGTGATGCCCGCAAGGGTATGATGTTGTAGGCTTGTCCGGATCGCGTGGCGGGATTGCTTTTGGGACTTTTTGCAGGGGCGCGCGCAGCACAGGGTCTGCGGTGTCTTGGTCGTGTAAGGTGGTCAACGCTTGTTTTCTCGGGCTCTTTGGTTAGTCAAGCAGAACATCCTGCCAGCGTCACGCAATATCAGCGCAGATGACAAGGCGAAACCAACACATGTGCTCAAATCAAACAGGAGGACCTGGGCGACGCAATTTGTCGTAGAACAAAGAGCTTCGTTTTGAGCCTCGCCAAACCTTGATTGCTTGAACAAGCTGCAGTAAGACCTTGTTCAGTTTGCGGATAGCTCAGTTGTCATGGTGTTGTTCATGGGGGTTGTTGTTGGCATACCTGGTTGCTTTTGGGGCTTTAAGGGGCGTCTTCAATGTAAGGTTCTTGGAGAGCGCCAATACCGGTTTGGAGGGTCATTTTTCCAACCTCGGCGCCTTGCACTTTTCATGACAGGAGGGTCTGAATCAGGTGGCAACCAGATTATTGACACACACCCATACCATGGGAAAATGAATCTCTTCGCATGCTGTGGCTTTGGAGCGAGGCTTGTGTTGAGACTGAGTATGTTCCCTCCTCTGGTTAGGAAGCTGCCTCAACTGCGAGGTGATTCCTGTTGCGTCTCTAAGCAAGGACTTGGGTGCCACGAACCCAACACACCGATTGAGGATTGAGTGACTGACCCGTGCCAGTTGTGTCCCTGGAAACCGGCAGCACGGCCGGCTGGAAGCTTGGATGCGGACCTGGATTGGCATGATGAGCATTCCAATCTTCAAATCCGATCGTTGCTTTGGGGGTTGGATTAGCTAGCGATCTAAAATATAATGCATCGTTGCATAGATGTGGATGCCGGATGAGACCGATACCAGTTGTAGCTTACAAACCTTCCTGCATGCACAGGCAATCCCAAAGGAAGTGTCGAGCCAAGATGTCAAACCGGCCGTGTGTTTTGTATGCATCACACTGGCACTGTGCCAAACCGAACCAAGAAACAATAGGGACTTCGGATTTCAAGACTTGTTAAGAGTTGGCCACGTCCAAGCCGTGGTGACGGTTGGATTTGGTGCAACTTAGGCCCTGAGTCTTGTACCGGAAGCGAAGCCAACGGCAGGGGCGCGGGATCTCAGTGCAATCGCTCCGAGAGCACGACATATATCAACATCCGGTCTCTTTTTGTATGTGGCGGGTGAAGTGGGCACTTGCTTCTCGCGTTTGCGCACAAGAATGCAATGGACCTACAGCAAGCAACATTTTGGAGGGCCGCTTTGCCGCTGTGTGGTTGCCTTTTTTGTAATCCTTGCATTTCCCGTGCCGCGAGGTTCTAACAATGGGCATTTTGAGAGGGCGTTGTTTTGCACTTCGAGCTGTTTGGACCTGGTGCTGTTCAGGCGGTGCTTTTGGAAGATGCTTAGCTAAGTTGAAAGGTTGCACGCTTGACAGCCGGGCACAGTGACCTGGGTGGCTAGTCTCAGGTCTGGCAGCTGACATGTTCAAGTTTTAAAGTTTTTTTCTCGGAGGCTTGGCTCCCATTCAGCAAGCTGCTCAGCACAGCTGGTGCATCGCGGGAAAGGCATCTTTTTGCGCAACAAGCCATTTGCTGATTGGGCTCGGTGCATCGAATCTCAGCAATCAAATGAATTAATCATGTCAACGTTTGTCCTTTGCTTTCTGCATGCGACGTATCAAACCCTATCATATATATAATTGTTTAATTTCCTCTAAGAGCCTTGATGAGTTAGTTATTGGACATTGGCAAGTTTAATTCTTGAGTTGTGCACCTTCACCACTCGCAACTGTTATTTCCTGTGATCCTGAAGAGGCTTTCCCAAGTCACTGGCCTTTTCGTATGGGTGCAACATCACCAGGTCGGCGAATTCGCCTCTCGAATTCCTCACCTGCAGGGTCCTCAGCTGTCATATCGTAGCCGTGCAGTCACGAAGGCATCCAAAAACGCCGCTGGAAGTGGCCACATCAGACCACCGAGAATGGCAAGAACGCAGTACTCCCCTGCGAATCAAAATAACATGGAAGCCCCAAAGGGGACTCCTTCAAAGGAGATTTCATGTGAGCTTGAGAGTTTCATCCAGAGAAGGATTGCGGATTTTGCTTCAGATCACTTGCGACAACAAGTGATGCCAAAAAACAGAGGCCACTGCTTGGTTGTGCCCTTTCAGGCTCTTTTGACTGAACATATCAACGAGGCTTTCTTTTAGTTTGCAAAACACATTTCAACAGATTGCTTCGGCATGATGAAACTGAAACAACAGTCTATCTACCTGAATTGTTGGCATTCTGCAGCTGCAGCACTTAATGTCAACTTTGGATCAATCCGGAGCACCCCAGTAGTGAGAGGAACCCCCTAAAACGGATAAATGTCTTACTATAAGGGAAGTATCCCTGATTAGTACGGTCCTCCGCGTGAATCCAGATTTGACATGACTGCACATATGTGAATGCAGTTTGTTGCACATGGACAGTTGCTGTCCCTCTTAGTCCAGGTTTTGTTTGCAGCAAAATTGTCAAGTCCGTGCCCTTCAAATGATTGTTCGGCTGACTCAACTGGCTTGCTGCAGTTGCAGTCAGTGCCTGAGAAGGTCACCGACAAGTCGAACTTTCAAAAGTCATGCAATTTTGTCCGTAGGAGAAACGAAAGAGTTTCTCCAAAGCTTTTGCTGGCCATATATATGAAGCATAGCGCCGGCTTTGAAAAGCAGCAGTGCTAAGGTTCATACTCATAGCTCAAAGAAAAGGGGAGCTATGATCCGAACTAAAGGCGCATGAGCCCTTCCGATTGCTTCGCAAGAAAGCACAACTTCCCCCACACCAGGTGCTTGTGGAAAGTGGCAGCTATTCGGGGAGGAATATGATGGTACCAAGTCCAATGTCAAAACACTTCAAAATCAGAACAGCATGGCACTTCCGGCACTGACCACTCAAATTTGAGACTGGGGGCTGCGCGCCTAATTGCCTAAATGTAAATTGGTCAGAACAGGAGCGAACATCCGCAAGCACAGATTTGTCGGGTATGATCAGTGAGGCATGCAAAAGTCGGCTCGCGAAATATATATATATATATGTGAAACTGCATCTCATGTATCAACGCAGCTCAGGGCTTTGAGCTCCAAGGTGTCCGGATTTGAAATCCAGTCTGGAGTTCTATAGTGTTCGCATGACATCAATATCTTTTGATGACAGAACATGTGGCATGTCCAACTCCAACTTGCAGGGACTTTCGCACAAATGAACTGAATGTGACCTCAAGGATGTAGGGAATCTGCAGGCCATCATGTTCATACATCCTGAAGTTGTTTGCCATGGGCGTGGATCACATCAAAGCCTGCGCGTTGTAGATGACGCCTCACTTTCAGATATGTTGCATTCTTCTATTACTCACTCACAGAACGCAACTCAACAGCTGTCTGAAATTCTTCGGCGTGTGGACGTCGCTGTCCAGAAGTGTTGGCCATGCACTACCTTCAATGTTCATTGTCATCAACAAGCTTCTATCAGGCACATCCAGCATTTTTGAATGCTAGACTGCCTCATTCAAGGTTTTGCCTGGAATGCATCGGAGTTTTGGGATCCCAAACAAGCTTCAAACAAGTGGCATTGCTTACAATATTGTGCTTGTTTGGAAACTGTGCAGTCATATTGACCCACCGGTCTTGAATACGACCAGTGACCACTGGTCGTGTTCCTCAATACCTACCGAGTAGGCTGCAAGCAGACTTCTGCATAGCAATGCACGAGAGGCAGCCTCCAAAACAAAATTACGTGGCAAATCTGGCTCGATCCTCCGATTGATGCGGGTTGGTGCCCAAGGAAAGTGAAGGCAGAATGGTGCTATACCCCAAACAGAATCAACCAGAGTGGTTTCTTTGAGGCTCTTGAAAGACCACCTTCCTCTTCAAGGGGCCCGTTTTTGCATTGGAAAGAGCAAAGCGTGCACATGCGACCCAAGGCCGCGCCGGCCACGGGAACCGGAATTGCTCCAGAAGGCTTTGGGATGGGACGGGACATTCTGCTTACAATGGCCTTGAAAAGGTTGCTTGCCTCATTATGTAGTGGGCACGCCCAGAATATGCCCGGCCTTTGCTCGCATGAACTACACAACTTAGGTCGCGGCTAAGAAGGTTGATTCCATGGCAGGTTCCTTTACAAATCGAACCAAGCAGGGGTCGCTTGTTTTGCTCAGAGTACTAGCATGGCCGTAGAGCATGTCAACAGCAAGCGCGAAGAACACATTCCAATGATTGTTCTTGCAGTCGATGGATCTTCCCAGATTGTCCACATGCCTGGTTTGCAAGGGCAATCGATTGCGCAGAAATCGTGTTGGCTCTTCTTCGGATCAATGCCTGGTGGGCAACCGCGGACTCGCGGCAAAAGGGCGATTTGAGTTGCCACAGATCAACATGCTTCTTCGTTGTCGTCAAGTCCGTTGCTTTGAACAACCTGGTGGGTTTCCAATTCTGGGCCACTTGGTTTTCAGAGGCTTGCCGGCATCCGACTCCAACTTTCAGGCTACGGCCTTGCGGTGGCAGTGTCAATGGTGGGAGGCGCTTAGCTGGCACGGAGAGCCGTTGGGACTGGTTGGGACGGGCGGAAATTGACTCACGAGCACACATGGTCACGAGTTTTCAGGCGCAAGGCTGACCCAGCTCAAACCCGGGAATCAACACCATATTTTTTCAAAGGGCCAAACCGCCGGCACGTGGCAAGTCAACAGGCCATCCCTTGGCAAGTTTGTACATGGGTGGTCACGGAGCTCCAGAATTTCCGATTGGAATGTCAAACATTGATCAACATTGGAGATGTCCAGGGGCATGTGGGAATTGTGACATTCGCGAAGAGTTGGGCCATGGGCCAATGGGTATTTGTCAAAATAGGGGGACCTCAAAGATACAGGTTTCCTTGAATCCAAGGTGAAAAGGGTATCCTCAAGAAACACACCAGCATGACAGCCATTTGGATCTAGCCTCTCCGGTAGTTGGGAGACACAGAACGATGGTGCCGGTGACCATGTACGAGCAGACTGCCGGCACCTTAGTGTACAATGCGGAGTCACGCTCAATCCCTTCACCTTTCAGCGGGAATTTCCAGCGTTACCTTTGAAGGTGCGGACTGGCGCTCCATGCCATGAGGGCATTTCACCAACTTGGAAGGTAAATCAAGAAGAAACTTGGGGCGAGGCGATTCCCACAGGCCAAGGGCTTCAGCCTCTTCAATGTTGAGGCTGCTGACACGCCAGAGCGCGCTAGCGCCCTGCGCCAGATGAACAACTTGCGGGGCCTGGCACTAGAGGTGGGCGGGTTCGGCGCGCAAGCTTACGGCTGCAGACATCTTTGCTGCACAAAGCTTGAAGAGAGGTTGTTCCTGTAAGAATTCTTCGGTTTAAAAGTGGCCGGAGGCCCAACATGCGTGGGCCACGAGCGCGTCACTTTGAAGCACAGCGGAAGCAGAACGAGTCAATTGTCTAGGCTATTTGGGATTTCGGCCCCGATGCTTTCTGTGGAAGTCAGATTTCTTCGGCCACCTTTGAGGGAACTCCTTGCCTTTTGGTAGGTCAACTTGAAACATTGGCACTAGCCATGCAAGCGCCAGCTAGAATGCGCATGTTTGAGCTTGCCTTCGGAGACTTGATCAAGCAGTGATCAGAGGTCCTGGAAGTGCTTCATTTCAAGATGGCACTTCCTGTCTTTGAAGTTTTGTTTGCCGTAAGTATCTCAGACTATTGAATAGGCTGCCTTTTGCAGCGCCTGAAGCCAGTAACTCAGTACGGGGCAAGTTGCTATGCTGATTGCCAGCTTGGCATATATTGTTGACGGAAGACCTGCTGGAGCGTAATATATGTAAGCTGAATCCCAAGTTCTGCAGGTGCCACGACTCCCGAGATCTTCGCAGTGCCGGAACGTGGATCTTGCATCTTTGCGCGCTTTCGCCTCCACCCTGCGGGATACCCAAAAGGCGGGCCCTGACATGAATGTCGGTTCGAGGCTCGTAACGTGATGTGAGACAGTCGGGCATGATGTCAACGTCGGATGAATGTGGAGGACCGTGCCAATCACCAGGGTGTTCCCCTTTCATTTGGGAAACAGTTCTTGTTCGGGGGCTTCCTTGGATTGGTGGTGAATGCTGGATGCCTGCCCCCGAACATATCTTGAAGGAGTTCATTTTTGCGCAGGAACGCAGCCAAAGCGAGGACCAGCAAGACACGTCGCAACCTGGCATTTCCTGAGCGTATTGCGGTGCATGGGATTATGTAGTTTGATTGCTTGCATTGTGTTGTTCTCTTTCCTCCCGGCTTCAACTGGAGATGCTCTCTAACTCCAAGCAGCTGTGCTCGTATGCATTTGCACATGCCCTTGGGTGCTTTGCATAAACCTTGTTTTTTTGTTCGCAAAAGAGGACAAATGCGTTAAGTTGCTCAGCTCCATGGTCCATGTTCTCATTGACCGGGTGCCGGCAGCCGGTTTTTGCGCAGAGGCAATCCGAGACCGAGACTGTCGACCTGGGCTTCCGAACGCCAAACCACGCGCGCCTTGCCATGGAAGGCCTTCAAGGTTGCCAATTTGTAGCAAAGTGCCGATATGTTACGTGTGTTCTGTTCGGTACATCGGTGCAGACGCGAGAACAAACAGCACAGGACCGTACACCTATAGACTATAGAGTATGTAGAATGTACACACTCTCTCTCTATCTCTATCTCTATCTCTATCTCTTTCTTTATTTATTTATTTATGTCTTTCTTTCTTTTATTCTTTCTTATCTTATATGTCTTTTGTTCTTTCTTCCTTCCTTCCTTCCTTTCTTTCTTTCTTTCTTTCTTTCTTTCTTTCTTTCTTTCTTTCTTTCTTTCTTTCTTTCTTTCTTTCTTTGTGTCTTTCTTCCTTTGTCTCTCTCTCTCTCTCTGTTGTATATACAGAGATACACAAGCATTGAATTCACACACACACGCGTGACGCTTTTGAGAGTTGCAATGTGCATTTAAAGTCATATGAGCTGCTTTTTCTCACTTTTCAGAAGGTCCGCGAATTGTGTGATACATTGTGTGCCACAAAGGTTCGCGAGGGATAGTTATCCAAAAAGTCTCTTAAGCATCAAAAATTAAGACACTGATTAAACATACAAGCTAACTTTAGAGCCTCCGGCTCAGTCCCTCGACATGGGCAGGCTTGCCTCGATGCTGGCTGGGCTTTGGAGATCATCTAAGACGGCGTCCACCACCCCAGACCACAACCGGCAAGGGTTCGTTTGGGATATACAGCCACCCGCCTTTGGTCTGGCACTTCGTGCACTTGCCCTTCATGACCCCTGTATTGTCTCCGGACTACTGTGATTTCCTATCAGTTCCGCATCAGGTCCCCCCTTCCTTTTCAATTCCCCCTTCATTTCACTCTCATTTTCTCGCCATGTCCCCTTCAATTTCCGGGTATGTCCCCTTCACTTATGTCCCCGGCATTGCCTGTCATTTCCCGACATCTCCCTTCATGTCCTTTGATTTCCTCGTCGTTGTCTTTATTTCCTGTCATTTCCACTTCCTGTCCCCTGCATGTCGTTGTATTTCCCTTGATTTCCCCTTCATATCCCCTTCATTTTCCCTCCTTGCATTCCTCTTTCATTCCCCATTATTTCCATTGAGCTCCATGGTGGCACCCGCCCAAAATATCGAACAAAACACGACGTTTTCACAAAAAGGAGGTCAAACAACGCAGAGTTTGTCCGAGCAGGCAGGGGGATTCCAGCCTGACCCCTGTTTTGCTCCCCGAAGACTATCTTTAGTAGAACGTCGTGAAATTACCGTGCCCTGCCCTTTCTCCTCCCCCCGTATTTGGCGTTTGGGGGGGGGGGGACTAGGGGGGTGTTATCCTCCTTATCCTGCGGACTTATTAGGCAGAGAAAGCTTATTGCCGCTCCTAGCGCACTCCTAACGCAACAGGAAGGAAGGAAGGAAGGAAGGAAGGAAGGAAGGAAGGAAGGAAGGAAGGAAGGAAGGAAGGAAGGAAGGAAGGAAGGAAGGAAGGAAGGAAGGAAGGAAGGAAGGAAGGAAGGACTACTTTGCTGCACCGGAGGGGGGGATGGGTGGGTTGTGGTACGGCAAAGCACTTGTTATTCCAACCCACCGGAAGCCCATCCCAAACAAACCCTCGCCAAAGCAAACCTAGCCATGCTTGACAAGTTTGTTTAAGATACCTAAACAGTTGTGTTCTTGATGCCGTTGTTTCCAGTTTTTTTGTTTTTGTTTTTCCTGTTGTGATGCTGCAAAATTTCATTTATTGAGTTGTAGAAGTAAGTTTGTTTGATGCTGAACAAGTATTTGTTTAGGCCTCACGCAGAACCTCTCTCGCAAGGACCCCGCAGTTTGACACAGGTGAAGTCGTTTTGCGAAGCCCCTCGAAGCTTTCAGCGTAACCTCTCACTCCAAACTTCCGCACCACTCAAACTCTGCTCAAACGTCTTTGAAGGAAAGCAAGATGATAGGCGTTGCAAGGCAGACACTGGCCTCCTCCTGTGACTACCTTTTCCACAGACCTTGTCGTTCCAGCCGCAGAGCCGAGCCCGTTCGTGTGACCAGTGTCGCTGGATCAGCAGAGCATGTGTACAATGGCAAGCTAGTCCTTCTAAACTCCATTTCAGGAGGCTACTATGATTTCATTGTTCATTTACTCAACTGAGCTAACCTTAAGTACTGCCGCTGGATTGGGCACAAGTTGTACGGGGTCGACTGGCCATGTGTTGACTTGCTGCCATATGCAACTGGCAAGCAGACCAAATCGAACTCGGGAATCGGATATGCTTTAAGCAAACGAGGCCTTGTCAAGGCAGCGCCCTATGAGCCCATGGCTGTGTGAAAGCCAGGTGGACCCCTCCAAATTGCAATGGTTTCCGTTTGGTCGCCTTTGAACTGTTAGCCCCTGGTACCCCAGAGAAGACCCGATTGATGATGTTTTTCCTGGGGCCTACGAATGCCAGTTTTGGAAGTGGTGCAACTATCAATCGGCATGTTGACATCCATCCTTCGCTTGAGAACCGAATGGCTTAGGTGATGGAGCCTACCTTCGCTCGAAGGTTGACTTGGGCCAGGGATACTCCACGCAGATGTGATATAGCCATGTCCCGACCCAAGTGACGGCCTGTCTCTTGGCCGTTGGAAAGGTCACAGGCCGAGAAATTTGCCGCATCTCCCACCTCCGTGGCAGATTTCTTGTAAAAAGGCACCGCAAGCACGCAGGGGAGTTGCACAGCTCACAACACTCATACATTGAGCTCTGTGTACTTTTGAATCATAACGCGCCATGATATGCAGTGCTTATGTTCTCCCTCCTTATCGCACAAACACATCAATACAGTCCGTACATGCTACACCTCAGGCTCACAGCATGTTGGCCCACAGAGCCCGCTCATCTGCAACGTGCAAAAGGATGCCTACAAGGAAGAAGCGATGTATTAGGTGCTTGCATTTGCCAGCGCACATCTCGTCTGGTTCCATGCTCACCCCTACTGATCACAGGTCTGCCGAGGCTTTCTAAGCACCCCACTGTGAAAAGGACGGGACGTTCCATGCTTTGTTTTTGCCGGGCTAGACGCACCACAAAAAATGCAGCTGTGCAGCACACTAGCGTGTGACCAAGAACGGCCCTCCAGGACTCAAAGCAATCATGGCAACCTGATCGGAGTAGATGTTTGCTTTGGTATGTCGGAAGCCGCTCTAAACTGTGACTTGATATTTAGGTTCGGAGTGGCACAGCATTCACAGGGACATTTAGCCCCTAGACTCATTGACAGCAAAGCAAGTGTGCCATGTACTGTCAACCGTTTGCTCCACAAATTGACAGGGAGATGCTGGCGGCGGTTGCCATGCTTGGAGCGGATTGCTCAAACCAAGCAAAAGAACATGAGTGGATTTGAGCAATCGGCTCGCAGTCTTATCCTCACAGGGGAGCCTGATGCCTTTGGCAAGCAGATGCCGTCGCTACAGTACCCAATTAACATTGGCGTGGGCACGCTTGCTTGTTGCAAATTCACTTGGCTTCCATTGGCCGCAAGCGGGACGTGTTGCTATGTTCTTGGACCCAGCTGTAATGGGGGTTTGAATCCTGAGCTACTGCTTTTCCAAGTTTGTACAGCAAGGCTTGCTTTTTGCGCGGCCTGAACGAAACACAACATAGTGCTTGCGCTTTTCCCCTTACGGCCATATGCAAGCGGACGCGGGGAACAGGTTCTCTCGTAAGCAGGGCCTGGCCTGCATCTCTTGGGGCGCAAAGTGCGACACGTGTGAGATTTTTCAACCCAACCCTGCGTGAGAGAGAGAGAGTGAGTTGGGGCAGACATTCACAACTCAGAGATGCTGCGGACGTGAAGTGGTTTGAGCTTCAGCGATAGATGTTCTGTGCATATGACACATATATCATATACATGTATATGTATGTATCTATATATATATATGTATATTATTTGACGCAGCGATGGCAAGACTCCGTCAGTAACACACACACACACACCCTTAAAATGTTTCCCGAATTCATCGGGCCGATGGATTCCATTCTGATGGGATATGGCGACAGCCGCACATCAATGGCCATATTGTGCTTCTATTTGGTCATTTAGGATATGTTCAGATGACGTTGGGCGATGGAAGATGCCACGCCTTTTTGCAAGGCTCAGCCTCAGCTTTTCCACAATTTGCCAAAGCACCTTTGTTTTTTGCAATGGCCGTGTTAACATTTTGTCAACACATACAAATCTCCTCAGGTGGACTCGCCATCTCATTCTTTTCCAGTTGCAACTGTGCACATTGAAGTTTCCAGCACCTAAAGGCTTGAACAATGCAGGTTGTGGAGTTTGACACTTTGACTTTTTGGGATGGCTGCAAATTCGGTGCAAACAAGCACACCAAAGAGCCGCCAAACACCCGCTGGCCGCAACAAACTTGCGGAAAACACACGCAAACAAGCGCACCCACCTTCGCATTTAGCAACTAAGAAGTGCTTAAAATAGCCTTGAACATTGACATTCCCCTTTGTTCACATTTTGAAGGACCAGGTGATTTGTTTCCAGCTCTTGGAACAATCAACTCCTCACTTCCTGAGTTCCTGGAGTTTACACTTTTTGGGAAGACCACTTTAGTGGTAAGTAAACAGTGGATACTTTTTTGGCCACTCAGGAAGTGAGACTCTCTTGATCAGGATCGCGCAGGGTCGATCCGATTCGACAGATCGGTTCCTGAATTCGCTTCGCGCTGGTGGTGGTCCGGCGCTAGTGCGGCCGCTCGTGGGTTGTGACCTTGACCGCGAGCGGCAGAGTAGCTTGCGTTTTGGCAGCTACTCCGAGAAACCAAAGATTGTGACAAGTGTTGATTCATTCCTCGGGCCGTTTTTTCTTGGGACTTGAGGATTGGAGCTCTTTGCATTGACCGCCTGCTGAGATAAGTTTGAGCTCAGCTCTCCGCGTATTGTGCATGGCACCGGTTCTTTATTTTGGCACCCCTCCCGCTTTGGGATGTTGCTGAAGCGCCTTTTGCATCACAGGAAGGTGGCAGCTCTTTCTGCTGTACGTTTTAGGGCACGACTACCATGCCAAATCTGAGCTGCTGCCTTCACGATTTTCGATCTGGTGTTGGGCAGGGCAGCGGACCAACAAAGAACTGCCCTGAAAGCCGATTAGCTTCCCAACTCCACAGTTCGCTTGATCGTCCGATGCGCGCAGAAAGGAATTGGCACGTTTTGTCCAAGGGCCGCGGCCGATGCCAAAAAAGAGCCGTGCGCCGCCCTTTTTTTTTTCTCACAAGGGGAGTGGGACAATGCTTCTCATATAACTGGGGGCAATGCGAAAGCGAAGTTTGTCTATGGCAAAGGTGGAGAGGTTCGATCGCATCGAATAGACCGGACTGGTGGCTTGTTGAGTCTGGTGATCTTAGCGCTGGAGTCTCCAAACCGCTGCCTTGATCCAATATGCTTCCGTCCGCAGCAAGGGTCAGAGAATCTAATTCTGGGCGCATCCCTGGTATTGCTGCGGACTCCCCAAGTATTGCAACCTAAGACATTTACCCTCTTCCATACAAGTTTCCAGAAACCTCATGGCCAGATAGCCCCGAATGTCCGCTTGCCAGAAACAAATGGCTGGGTCAAAACCAATGGTACCATTTTGGGGTAGGTGCACCACCCATTTTAGTCTATTTTAGTGGGGATTGGGATGTTCACTGGGGGTACGGGATTTTGACCCATGGCCAAATGCATGCTCACAGAGCCAAGCTGGTGACACGGGCATCTGAAAAGCCGACAGGCCTCACCTCGGTGTCCTCCGCTGCCCGGCAGCGGCGCCACTCGGCGCAGAAAGGCCGGCCCTTCGCAGGAAATGTGGTGAACTCCATGTTTGCTTCTTCTTTGTGTAAGCAACATGTTTTAGTGTGGAGTCCTGGGGGGGACACTTTTTATTACACATATTAAGACAAACACGCAACACGGCCATGTTCCATGTTTTGCTCGGTGTTTCTCTCCTTTGCCATCGGCCAAAGTCGGCCAAGGCCTCGCGCAGCTGGAGCTTCAGGACGACGACTCATCCCCCAGCACCAAGAAGGCGGGCCCTGGTTTCTCTTCGGTTTTCCTGGAAAGTTCAAACAAGGGGTTCACCCAGGGTTCCACTCTTTGGCTACCCGTTCTCCTTTTGGGGGGAATGAACCACCCCTGGGTTTAAGTCTACCCTGGGGTAGTCAAAAAGTAGAACCCTGGGTTCACCATTTTGATAAGCTCCCGTTTGGTTATGTGGGATGGACGAAACAACCCGTTTGAGCCAGTGCTCGAGGGTTAGTCTTTTGAGTTTGGATTGATCTTACCACAATGCACCCGAGCACTGTCTTTGATAATGCAATGGTGAGCCTTGATGATGGTTGATTCTTGTCCTGTTACCTTCCTGGCATGTTTTTCGAGAGTCAAGGGTCACATCGAATTTGGTCACTTGCGACAATGTCCAACATACCCCACATGAAATTGTCCATTCTCCCAAGGTCTGATGTTGAGGATAATCTTGGAAGAGGTTCCCGACGTAGACCCGGAAATCGGTTTCCCCGAGGCTGCGAAGCGCCGCCTCGATGGCCCGCAGGGACCCACGAGAGAGCGAGCGAGAAAGAGCAGAGAGAGAGAGAGAGAAGGCCGATTCTTGTTGGTGTGTCTCAAAATTGGGGACCCTCGGCTTTCTTTTAGTTTCCTTTTCAACCAACCCCAAAAAAGCAACCTTCAACGAAGGACCAACCCGGTTTGGCATGTTTGCAAAGGTGTACGTGATGTACGTGTCGAAGCGTTCTTAGCGCGCGGATTGCTTCAGAAAGTCCATGTGCGCGATAGGAATATACGGATCACTTGGAGTAAATTCTTGCAGCACTCCCTCTCCGAGGTCAAAGCGAGCGCGCAAGGAGACTGAGGCCAGGTGCTTTTCGAGTGAGGAAGAGGCTTTTGTTAATGTTTGAATAAGGTGAGACTCCTGTTGGCACCACTGCGAGGAAATCTTGCTTTGCATGCCAGGATTGCAAACCAAACCTATCCGTGTATTGCAACATATGTGTGCCCTGTGCAACAATGCTCGAGTGAGCCAAGGACATGCTACTCTTACGCTACCCATCAAGGCTTTTAATCCGTTTCCATTCGCACATTCACCATGTTCTACGTGCTCACACCATCAAAGAGGCATATACACAACCTTGGCCAGCACTAGCCGACCAGGATCGGTTTGAGTGTCGGGCCAGGTGCAGGCGTCGCTGGTGCCGGTCACTGCGCTGGGATCGCCAGCTCGAGGGCCCCAAGAATGCTCCTGTTAACCAGCCCCAAGAATGCTCCTGTTAACCAGCCCTTTAGAGGTCCCCCCCAAAAAAGGAACACCGAAACTTTAGATTTGCATAGCTTGCAGAATTCGGGAGGGTCCGATCCGTCCAATCAAGCCATCAGCAAGGATTATTTTGCTCTTACGCCGAGAAACCGGTGGCGAAAGACTTAGTGGGTCCTAGCCCCGTTGGCGAACAGTGAGCTCCACCAGGTTGGCTGTTCCTCCACCGTGGAACCGGTGTTTGTTTGTTTATTTGGGGCTTGACTCCGGTCAGGTGGATGGTTGGATGGATGGATGGTTGGTCGGTCGGTTGGTCGGTTGGTTGGTTCGTTATGGTTGGTTGTGGTTGGTTGTGGTTGGTTGTGGTTGGTCATGGTTGGTTGTGGTTGGTTATGGTTGGTTATAGTTGGTTGTGGTTGGTTATGGTTGGTTGTGGTTGGTTATGGTTGGTCATGATTGGTTGTGATTGGTTATGGTTGGTTATAGTTGGTTATGGTTGGTTATGGTTGGTTGTGGTTGGTTATGGTTGGTCATGATTGGTTGTGATTGGTTATGGTTGGTTATAGTTGGTTATGGTTGGTTATGGTTGGTTGTGGTTGGTTATGGTTGGTCATGATTGGTTGTGATTGGTTATGGTTGGTTATAGTTGGTTATGGTTGGTCGTGGTTGGTTATGGTTGGTCATGATTGGTTGTGATTGGTTATGGTTGGTTATAGTTGGTTATGGTTGGTTATGGTTGGTTTTGGTTGGTTATGGTTGGTCATGATTGGTTGTGATTGGTTATGGTTGGTTATAGTTGGTTATGGTTGGTTTTGGTTGGTTGTGGTTGGTTATGGTTGGTCATGATTGGTTGTGATTGGTTATGGTTGGTTATAGTTGGTTATGGTTGGTTATGGTTGGTTGTGGTTGGTTGTGGTTGGTCATGGTTGGTTGTGGTTGGTTATGGTTGGTTATAGTTGGTTGTGGTTGGTTATGGTTGGTTGTGGTTGGTTATGGTTGGTCATGATTGGTTGTGATTGGTTATGGTTGGTTATAGTTGGTTATGGTTGGTTATGGTTGGTTGTGGTTGGTTGTGGTTGGTTGTGGTTGGTTATGGTTGGTTATAGTTGGTTGTGGTTGGTTATGGTTGGTTATAGTTGGTTATGGTTGGTTTTGGTTGGTTATGGTTGGTTGGTTGTACTAGTTACTTGGTGCCCAATCGGATTTGGTGTTGGTTGGTCGTCGGGGTTGGCTGCATCCCCAGCATCACCAGCCTGGCCCGGACCTAGGGCTGCCTATTGGCTTTCATTTAGCAGGGTTCATTTAGGCTTGGGTCGGTTTGAGGTTGGCTTCGGGTCCTTTAGGTCGGTTTGGGGCTGATTTGGGCTGGGTGTGATTGTGTGAGTTTTGGTTTGGGCTTGGCAGTCCCTGAAGCAACCCCAGCCGCACACTTAGCACAAACAAATCAGCCCGCAGCCAACCCAAAATTAACCCAAAGCCAACCTTCAACCCTCCAGCATCCTTCCCAAGCCTAAATGAACCCCGCACAAGCCCAAGACCCACCCCCACTAAGATCTCAGCAAGCCCAACACTCATCCGAAATCAGCCGGGCAACTCTCAACTGCCCTAGGTCAGCGACAACCAACCTGACCCCCAGCCTGGCCAACCAGACCACCAGAGTATACCCCCAACCTAAGAGTGAAGCAAGGGTTCCAAGCCAATCCTTTTAGAGGCGCATGAGGGCAGGTCTTGTTGTGAGCCGAGCCGGGCTAGTAAAAAGCCAGGGCTAGTTTGAAAAAGAGCTCCTCAACCCTCAAAGTCCCAGCGATCCGAGGCCTGGCGAGCGTTGGGGGGCCTGGAGCCATTTCGTTGTGGCCAGTTGTTTTTCCACGGGAGCCGACGCCTGTTGTGCTTTCCCTCGAACCTGATTCGAATGGCGGTTTTCACCAGGTTCTACCTTGCATGGTGTTTAAGAAAATGGTTTGGGCCTGTTTGATACCCCGTCAGTAGAGCAAGAGGTCACACATCACCAAGTGAGGGATCTGCATCACGAATGGGGTAATTTTGCCTTAGGGTTCAATTCAAATTGGGCGGTATGCTTGAACTGGCGAGATGGGAAGGGATTGGCGAAGGGACAAACTGGCAATTTTTGTGGATTGAGTCAAGGGGACTGAGTCACAGGTGAGTCCCAGATTGATGGGGCGTACTGGCGTCGGTCCCGCCAATTTGTATTAGTAGGATTAGCACGGGACAAGTTGGTATGTATCCGGCAAGGTTTGCGAGTGACGGTGTTTGTGTTGAGGCCGCAGGAAGATGTCCCATGGAGTAGACGTGGCCAGTGTCAAGGCCAATGGAAGAGTTTCAGGCAAGCTTTTGCGTTCTTTCCACCCCTTCCTTTGCGTTAACCCTGAAGCCGGAGAGATTCAGCCATTTCCGGAGAAGGCCATCTCTAGAATTGGGCATGATGGCCGCGCTTATCTCGAACTATACGTCAGGCTGCCTCAGATGAGTCTTGAATCCTCGCTGAGGCAAGCAGATAGACTTGGACTGCTCAGGCCTTAGTGCTTTTGTATTTTGGCGCCTCCGGCTCAAGCCGCCGACATCGGCGGGGGGGGAGGGTGGGGGGAGTGGTGCAGGAGAGCAAAGAAGGAACGACCACCTGCCTTCAGTTTGTTACTTTTGGCTGGGTCAGCAGCTGGAGTGCAATGCTTCCTTGAAAGTTCATGGAAACTTCCTTGAAAGTTCCTGGAAAGTTCATGGACAATAATGAAAAAATCATGGAAAGTGCATGGAACCTTCATGGAAATTTCATTGAAAAATCATGCAAACTTCATGGACATTTTATGGAAAGTTCGCGGAAAGTTCCTGGAAAGTTCATGGACAGTTCCTGCACAGTTCCTGAAAGGTTCATGGACACTTCCTGAACACTTCCTGGAAAGTTCATGGACACTTGGCTGAAAATTCCTGGAAAGCTCATGGAAACTTCCTGGAAAGTCCTGGAAAGTTCCTGGAAAGTTCATGGAAGCTTCCTGGAAAGTTCCTGGAAGGCTAGGCCACTAAGATTTTAAGATTGCAAGCCAATCAGATGTTCAGAGTTTAATCCATGAGGACTTTCAGATTTTTCAGCAAAACATAGTTTTAATATGTTCAGCCATTGATATGTGAACACATTATGCCACCAAGATTGTAAGGTTTTCAGCCAGTACATGTTTTAGATTTTGCGCCAGTAAGATGTTAAGCCATTAAGCCACTAAGGTTTTAATAATTTACTCCGTGCAGATTGTAAGGTTTGAAGCCGTTAATATTTCAAGATTGTAAGCCATGACTCATGACTGTTTGCAGACTTTAAGCCATTAAGATGTTAACACGTTAATCCACTAAGGTTTTAAGATTGGAAGCCGCACAGCCATTAAGATTTTAGCGCGGTGACATCTAAACATCTTGGATGTGACAAGACACAAATACGGACCCTTCACGTAATCCTGTGCGCCCCCAGTTGCGCCATTAACTATGCTTGGCTGTTTCTGTGCTGTGCGTTTGCCTGCAGCAAATGGATAAATGTAGAACCGCCACATGTTGTGCCTTCGCTTGTCAAGTGGTTGCGTGATGGCATGCGCATACTTGATGGTTGGCCTAGCTGCGATACCAGCGTATTGCGTATCCACATGGCCGAGTTATCTACTTTCCTTGCGGGCAAGTGCTGGCGTTAGTTCACGGAGTCGTTCCAGGAAAGGTTGACTGACTGAGGACGCCACCGGCTAGCCCATGGGGAGCGGGCTGCCACGGCAAAAATCAGTCCAGAGCAACAGAGGATGCTGCTAGAATGTGAAAGTGCTGCCTAAGGCTCGCGGGAAGCAAGCCAAGTCTGAAGTGTTGGCCACCAGTTGGTCATGTTTTTGGTTGTAGTCAAGCAATGTAGCGTGAACCACATTGCAACCAAGCTCTCTTTGCAGAGTCTTGGATCAAACATGCTGTGACACGCTGATGTTGGACACATCGGGACGGATTTTGTCCCCCCTGAGCCCGAGCAAAATTTTGCGCATTAGCTAGGTAGAAACAACATAGAGCTGGCATTTATTGGAAACGGGCAGGTTGCGCTTAGCCAGCAACCTGGCAGCATGCAGATTCCTCGGTTGTTTGTCAGGTTTCACCCAGCAATTTGTGGCTGGCGGTTCCATGGAGCAATCGGCGAGCAGCTATGTGATATCTAGGGCACGTCGCAAGACCTGAGCTTTGGTTTAAAGCAGGCCAGAGCTCACGGAACTCGTCGCCACGGAATGCCCATTTTCGCCAGCAATGCTCTAGAGCGCCGCGAGACGTGCACGTGAAGAAGGATGTCACGTTTGCAAGCACCTTGTGCCAATTTTGGGGCTGTCGGGTCTGGAAACGCATGAATCAGACCCAAAACAATCGGTTCTAGCAAGTTTCCAGCGTGCATCCAAGAAAGATAGCATGACAGCTTGGGGATTTGAAGGCTCGATGAACCGCAGGCTTGGCTTTCCAGCAAGCGAGCTGAGGTTTGCCTTTCGGAGGGCCCGAATCGATTTGTGTTTCGAGAATCCGCTGAAACCGGGTGGGCGCGTGTCCAATGTAATTTTGATGCGCTGTGGCTCGCAGCCACATGCAAAGACGCCAAGACTCTTTGATCGTAATGGTGAGTGCAGATCGCTTTAGAAGCGCGCGGCATCATGCCCAGGCAACTTTGGACCAGACTTGCAGGGATGAGCCCTTACCAGTGGGGTTGTGCTTACCAACAAGTGCACTTGCACAGGGTCAAGCGATGTGAAGCGAGCAGATTTCTGGTGAAACTCATTGAAGTCGAGCTGACCGTCTCACCGCGCATGGCATGGCTTTAGGCCGCTCAGATGCAATGCTCTCGCAAATGCACTGGTAAGGCACCAAGCACAGCTTGCTGGTCCCAAGCCGATCTTGAGACTTGTATGTGGTTTTTCAATGGTTTACTTCGACTCATAGCCAAGGTTGACCTTTCACTCCCTTGGCAAGCGAGAAACAACGGAGCTGCGCCAGTCTGGCACGAACAGTGGTTCTCCGGAACATCCAGGGCTCAAGACCGCAAAGAGGCGTTTGGAGACTTCCTAGTATGTGCCAACCGCTAGCCCGTCGATGCTTGTTCCTGAATAATTCCCAAGCAAGCAAATATACACACACTCACACCCACACACACACACCCACACACACACACACAACACACACACACACCCACACACCCACACACCCACACACTCACACACCCACACACCCACACACCCACACCCCCACCCCCACACCCACACCCACACCCACACCCACACCCACACCCACACCCACACACACACACAGCACAGCACAGCACAGCACAGCACAGCACAGCACCAGCACCAGCACCAGCACCAGCACCAGCAACCGTCAGCATAAATAAATGCATGGGCATTCTTGAACTTGGAAGCACAGCATGTATACCAGAAAAGCGAGAGGTACGTTGGCAACGCGATTCCATGGGTAACATGGGCTTCTTGAAGGCACCTCATTCGGTATTTACATCCTATGTTTGCAGCTAGGCTACCTTTGACACTAGCTTCGGACGGCTGCGACTTCTGCAATTGTGGTCCTGGCGTTCGGGCTACCGCCAACTGCAGCCGGCAGCCCATGTTTGCGCCAAGGCCAAGCACGGCGCTTCGGCGGTCTGGGCCTCAGGTGGTGAACGCGGAGCGATTTTGCTAATTTCAATGAACTTCGAGGCGTCCCCAAGATTAGACATGGCACGTCACATTGTACAACCATTGCTCCCACATGTGCAATGAGCTTCCTCCGTTTGCAGGTGATCCTATTGGTGTGTTCGCATGCCTTTCTGCCTCCCACCAAAAGATGGGCCGGAAGCAAGAGCGAATGGAATCAGGAAAGCATGGATTGCGCTGCAGAGTTTGGGCACCGCGTTGTTGGTGTAGCTTGCAGGTTGAAGGATCGCCTATCAGATGACGACACATCCCTTTCGTCGCTGTCCACTTTTCACTCCATTTCCCTTTGACACTTGAGAACGACTATCTTAGTTCAACAGCTGCAACTTTTTATCCCCGGCAGTGAGACTCTCGCGACTCTCGGGGTGTTCGAGGTCTGGCGGCCCTGCCGCAGGTGCGGCCGCAGACTGGGCAGGAGGCGGCAGCGTGGCTCAAGCCGGGGACCTCTGAACCGAACGGGTCTGTGTTTTTTGAAGCTCGCTGCTGTTTTGTTGTGTCTTTTCTTGGGAAACCAAAAGGAACATCCACCATTTTGGGGGGCTCCGAATCCCTATTTGTGCACATATTCGTACTGTTCATGGACACACTCAGCTTCGCAATAGTTGGTTTTTTGCAGTAATCATAGCATATCATCCATCCCAACTAATGCGGGAATTTGTTTGTCCACAGGCCGGGGCAAGCCTGGTAGTTTGTTGGGCAGTTTGGTCGAAGATAGCCTCCAGTTTCAGTTCCCACAGTTCTTTGGTTGAAGTTTGGACCAAGTTTTAGTTTGGTTCCAGTCAAGTGCCGCTTTCAGTTTCAAAACGAGCACCTCCTAGTAGGGCAAGGCAGTGGTGGAAAATGCAGTTTGAGGACGCATTGGACTTTCCTTGCTTGGAGTCGATGGGCAAGTCACCTCCTCGAATCACAGCCTTGTGACAGTCTCGAGAAGGTTCGCATTTTGATTTGTCATCCAGAAGCTGAAACTAGGGTTGCCTTCACCCATTTGCAGCCTTGGAGATTCAGCATGTTTGTGTTGGAGGCTGAGATTATTTTCTTTGGAGGCCATTGGATCTCTCTGAGATTTCCGGCTTTCGGATTCAAGGAGTGGCTTGTATCGCACAAATCTGATTGCATGTGCGCTTCGGGGTCCCCGGCTTGCCGTTGCAAAGATTCTGATTGAGCATCCTTCCGTGAAGCTTTGATACAAAATTGGACTTGACAAGTTTGTGAGCCATCCCTGCGGCTTGTGTTGAAGCTTTTCGCGATGATTCCTAGCCGCACTGCTGGCCGCAATCATGCCTTGCAAACTTTGTGTCCCTGCTTCTCTTGTGCAGAGCATTTTCGTCGCTGGGAGCCATTCTCGATATTCTCGAGGCAAAGTTCTCCAAGGTGAAGCAAGAGACCAAAAAGCCAAGCAGATCTTGCACATACATCGAGCCATATGTTTGATTGTTCACCGTGACCTGCTTCCTGACAGAGCTCAGCAGAAGCGTTTCATGGCCATGGAGCAGGCTTGGGGGGGTCTGTGGGCACTGCGGCCTCGCTGTCTACAAGGTGTATTGTGCATGCGGGTGGGTGGGCGTGCTGGTGTACTTGCTGTGCTGTGCTTTGCTCTGCTGTGCTGTGCTTGCTTGCCCTTAGTGACCTGTGATGTGTGTGTTGGTTGTATGTGCAGGTGTGTATCTTTGTACGATCTAGCATTCGGTTGCCGCATGCCTTTGAGAGGCTACAGCATCGCAATGTCTTTGGAAAGGCAAGAGTCATAGGGTCATAGGGACAGAGGTTACTGTCCACAAGCATGACTTTGGGCTAGAGCATGCGTGAGGCACGCCGAGATGAAGATGAGCTGCCGTTGCTGGAGGACATGCGGGAGAGACTCGAGCGAAGGTATTCGGAGGCCATGGCAACGGAATCATGATGCTTTGGGAATAGGCATGGATGCATCAGGGCGGCTGTTGCCAACAAGTGTTTTGCCAGATTGATTCCAAGGACCACCCTTTGGGCATTGCACGCCGTTCGTTGTGTGGCATTGCATGGCAAAGGCATGTGTGGCTCAACACCATTCTGCGAGATTTCCAGCTTCAAAGCCAACGGGTCTGAAACATGCCAGGCTGTTTTCTTGACGTGGCCAAATTCAAGTCTCGGAGCGGACACAAACGCGAAGACCGCGTTAAGGCCTCCCCCGAAAGCGATGACTCTCAGTTCCATTGGTGCTGTATAGCAACCCCGCGATTGTGGTTTAGTCAGGGTGTGACTAAAGCAGCAAGGAGGAACAAATCGCTAATTAAGCAAGTACCCGGTTTTTGCTTGCCGTGGCACCAAAAAAGGTGCGCTTCTGGCTGCAGCAAGAATCAGGGCCTGCAACAGAGAACCACACCGAGAAAACCAAACCGAGAAAGTCGGCCATGTGCACATCAAGCATCAGAAAGAAACGAACCTGCTGCGCATCACATGCATGAAGCTTGGATTGCGATACATCTGAGAAGCGGGCATGCTGCGTCGACAATCATAAGTACCTGATTGAAAACTATCGTTGTTTGGGGAGACCTTATCACTGTACAGAGCTTGCGCACTTTGGCAGATCCAGCTCAAAAATCAAAAACTGCAACTTTTCAATACAACAAGTGCAGTACACGAAGTACACTTTAACTTTAACATACTTTAACAGCTCCAGCTCGACCAAAACTTTTTAGTACAAGTGTAGCACGAAGTACACTTTGGCAGCCCAAGCTCGAGCATCGCAACTTTTTATGTTATGAAGGTGTAGCACACAACGAGCTACTCCTGCTGGCTAATTTGGGCACCGAGCTTCTAAAGCTAGTTGTTATTGTAAGCGCTTCGCGTTGCCTGCCTCGGCCAGTCCGCTTTTGGGCTGGCTTTGAGGTATACACCGTGCTTTAGTTTGCCTCGAAGTCTTGTGTCCAAGGTAGAGGGTGGGTGCATGTCTGCGCGTTTGCACATGGCTTTAAGGGGCAGAACGAGAGCTGCAGAGAGCTACAGAATGGCAGCTGCAGAGCTACAGAGAGCTTGGGCCAAGCGAAGGCTCTGGGGGACGGGGCGGGGGAAGTTTTGCCGGTTTCTGGAAAGATTTTGGCCGGAGTTGGACCTGTTTTAGAGGGGATTTGACATGTTTCTAGAGGGGAGCGGTTTCCACGGCTTTTTTACGGGGGACTGGATAGGTTTCTGGCGGGGAGATTGACCGCTTTTAAAGTGATGCTGGTCCCGCAGAGGTCATGAAGGGGTCTGACCACTTCCTCGCCCCGGGAGCCCGAATTTTCAGGGTAGACTAGATAAGACACACACAATCTGAACACATTATCGTCTTTTGTGTTCCCGGGAGTTTGGCCAGACCTCCACATGACACGCTGAGCAGGCAGGAAACCTTGCCTAGCATGCCTGCCAGGAGGAACTGTCGAGCAACAGCGTACGATGGCCGCGCTTCCCGAAGAGTGGCCTGGGCTGAATGGGCGACGTTTTGAACGACATTTAGATTTCAGGGTCGCTCGGTGTTCCCCATATATACCTCTTTGCTTGGTCCAATTTGAACGGTTCTCAAATTCGAAGCGAAGACGTGAAGACGCCGGAAGACGCGGCGACGCAAGCACGCAAAGACGCTGATGGGCATCTGGGTGAGATTGGGTGAGGCTTGAGGGCGTGGTCCCCGTGAGGCGTCGGGGCGTTTGGTCCTCGGTGCATCTTGGAACCGGCCTGAGCACGCGCAGTGATTGGGTAGGAGGGAAATATCGGGAGAGTGAGGGTATATTTATATTATTTTTCTTCTCTTCCTTCTCATGAATGGATGGTGCCTTCCCTGGGTTTTTGTGCCCCTGTCGATGTGTTTCTTGTCTGAGTGCTCCGGTTTTTCTTTGCGACTTCGTTGTAGTCACAATGAATAGTACAGTACGCCAACACCTTTTTAAAGATGCAGCGCCAAGTTGCCCAAGACAAAGCAAAAGACCGTTTTTTGTTCTTTCTTTTTTAGATTAGCTCGAATGGAAAACTAAACGGAAGCCTACCCGGGAGGGTCCCTGCAGCTCAGGTATTCTAGCTGTAACTTGGCTGCATGGTGCATTGGCAGCGATTGAAGGACCTTGGTTGTCTGAGCCGCGCCGATCATATGGAGCAAATGGTTTTGTTGCTACGCATCGGCTTGTGCCTTCCACGGGTTGGTCGGTGGGTCGGTCGGTGGGGTCGTTGGTTAGCTGGTTGGTTGGCTGGCTGGGTTGGCTGGGTTGGCTGGGTTGGCTGGGTTGGCTGGTTGGCTGGCTGGCATGGTTGGTGGGTGTTGATGCTGGTTGATGGTGGTTCATGTTGACGTTGGTTGATGCTGGTTGATGTTGCGTTTATGTTACTTCATGTTGGTTGATGCTGGTTGTTTGCTTGGCGAATTGGCTTTGATTTAGTTTTGGTTGGTTGGGTCGGGCGGCCAATTTCAGTTTGGGCTGGAAAGTTGTACGGCTGACAAGTTGAAAGGCAGGCAGGTTGCAAGGCTGGCATGTGGGCAGCTTTGGAGCTGGTTAGTTTGTGTTTTTTTGTTATGCAATGGTTTGTGGAGCTTTTTTGCATCGTTGGTGAGGGTCGCTTGTGGATTTTGTGATTTTCCTTTGCTTGATAGTTGGTCTTGGCTTGGTGTAGGTTGGGCAGCAGTACTCACAGTAAGGTGGCAAAGCATTGATTCACACCTGAAACAACCATCCCACGACAGACCAAGGCCCGAACCTAAGTTGTGTTCCTGCCAACTCCCAACGTTTCCTCTGGAATACATAAATTGCCGAGCCAGTAGTTTTCCATGTTGCCTGGGTTGTCAAACATATGTGCTGTTTTCTGCTGCTTTGAGCCTGGCATTTATATTGACCCGACTCCGCTCCCCTCGATATCTTGGCCTCCCGACCCTGAGACAGGCAACTCTGCTTGTGGCGGCCGTGTGCGTCCGAGGCTGGGAGCACTTACTTGTTTTCCGGGTTTCGTAGTTGGCAAGATGAGTTTGTGGCTCAAATTGAATTAGTTTTGCCAATTTTAGCCGTGTCACTTGGGTTGATAAGGCGATCGTAGACCGTTTCAATATTGGACTCATCGAACAATTCCGAACATGAGGGACAATGAGGGACCCTCTATGGGATGCTTTGAAGGCGGAAAGGAGCACTCACCATCCGGAGGGGGCTCCCTTTTCTCAACCTATCATTGCAAGGGTCCCAGGCAAACTGTCCCCCATCAGGGAACCAATGAGGCAGCTCCACAGAAGCAGCTCAAACGATTCCGACACCCATGATTTGCAATGCCTTCCTGCGTTGCCTTCGAAGAACTTCAGTGCAATCCTGCCCAAGCATTTGGGCGGTTGGCGTAGAAGTAGGTGGTGAGTTGAACCAGCGCAGCCTCCGATGGGCGCCATCTTGTGCCCGGGCAATGATTATTTTACCATTTTTGTGGTGTGGGTTCAGAGGTGTTTGGAGCTC